GTTAGGGCTAGAAATTTGATGAAGATTTGTAAAGTAAAGTAAAGCTCCCATTTCAGACATAAAGATCTATAGGATAGATGCAGTAGAGTTCATATGTTTCTTGACCTCGGCATATGAAGAAGGGATGGTGTGGTCAGCAATCTGCCCAGCCGCTTTTATTTTACCCAATGTGTGTCTGGTACCCATCAGAGCTGGGTGGACTCAGGAAGTCCTACTGTCTCGAGATCCGAACACGAGACTTTCGGGATAGTAACCGAACTTGATTAAGATTATGGTTAAGGTAACTTTGGATTAAAGTCTGATTTAAGTTTTTGGTAGAGGTTAGGGCCAGGGTTAGGGTAGCGATACTAGCCAAACATTTCTATTTTTTGCCGGTTCTCTTATGCGAACTCAAATAACTATTGTAGTATCTCACGAAGAGAAGTTAGAAATTATGTAATATGGTAACAAACACACACTGCCATCTGAAGAAGAAATCCTCCAGAGAAAATTGAAATGGATTAGCCACACAATCAGGAAGCCTGTATCCAGCATAACAAGACAGACCCTCACCTGGAATCCACAAGGCAGGAGGAGGAGAGGCAGACCAAGAAAGACCTGGAGACGTGACCTGGAAGAAGACACCAAGAAGATTGGATACACCTGGGGACAGTTGGAGAGACTAGCCCAGGACAGAGACGTCTGGAAAGCTCTTGTCAGCTGTCTATGTCTGGGGTGGGGAGAGAGAGAGAGAGGCTAATTTTAAACAATTTGTTCATTCTGATAATGATTTCGAAAGATCCCGTTTTGTGCGCAAACATTCAGGGTTTGACTTCACGTCATTAAGTGCAGATTCTGTGCTACGTCTTTCATTACCTGCAGGCAGTGTGACGTCTTCGATTAATTGCAGGTTCTGTTTGAGGTCTCGCATTATCTGCATGCTCCACGTGACGTCTTCCATTAACTGTGACGTCTTCACACGGTAGTATTAAAACAAAGTGTATCTTGTAAATCACTCTGCTGCGCATTACTAATGATGCGCAATAAAACCTAACCGACAGTACAGTAACTATTTAAATGCATTCAAGCGAACCAAAACTCGAACTTAGACGAAAGGTCAAGTACTGTCTTAGTATTGACTGCTTCCTTGTGGAACTTCTTATTCTTATAGTGATTTCCAATGCAAAACAGAAGTTTATATCTATCTCAGTGAGCAGTGTTTCTTCCAGACTTTTTTCTCCGGGGGGGGGGCACTTGAAATTTCCAGGGGGGTGGGCACTGCTAAAAATATATATTTTCTATATAAATTCCATTTCGTTCGGGGGGGGGGGGACTTTCTCCCCCCCCCCCCCCCTGGAAGAAACTCTGTCAGTGAGCTCGACGTACTGGTGGGTTTTCAGCCTCATTCACAATTTAATTTTTCTTTTTAGATTTTCGACTATGGGCAAGTCACCCCCCGCCACCCCCATTCGCGACGCCAATGAGTTCAAACCATGCATGAGTGATTCCATCCGGTCAAACCGCAATGAAGCGTGGCGAGCCAATCTTCCTGTGCGTGCTATACCACAACGATGCTGCGACTCTTAATAAAAAAAAACTAAGTTGTTGCGTGCGTTCGAAGATTTGATCCGAGCGAACGATTTTGGCGCCTGGCTTAATTTCTGATTTCTCCGGAGCAGCGGAGCAGGCAGCCTGCTCTGTCTTGCTCCGGGCTCTAATCTGATGTGGGACGGTAGACAGGCTTGGTTATTGGGAGGGGTGGCTTTAAATGGGTTTATAGAGATGTATGGCTTCGGGGGTGGGCGGAGAGGGAGATAGCCGGCTAAACAGATGGGATGGTAGATGGCTGGTTTTAAAGATGGACGGATAGACGGCTGATTTTAAATATGAGGTGATTAGCGGCTGGTTTTTAAAATGGGCAGATAGATGGCTTATTTTAAAGATGGACAAACAGACGGCTCACTAATTAGTTGTGCTGATAGAATCGTCAGAGGAAACACATGGTATCGTCTAAAAAGTATCGTGTCGTCCATCGTCCATAATATATTGTTTCGTCCAAAATTAGAATATCATTCTTAATGTCTCCTATCATCTAAAATGTATCGACCATCCAAAATATATCGTATCGCCAAAAAAAAGTATTATCCTTATTGTTTCCTATCATCTAAAATGTATCGACTGTCTAAAATATATCGTATCGTCCATAAAAGTATCGTATCATCCTAAACGTAACGTGTCATTATACTTTGTACCGTACTGTTCATGATAAATTGCATCGCATCGTCCAAAATATATCGTATCGTCCAAATATACCACACAGTCCAATATCTATTCATGTGTTGAAATAGTATCACGCAGTATAAAAACAATTCTGTACTGTTTTATCGAGATTTGCAACGAATGTAAAACTGCTAAAATATCTAAACTTGATGAAACTACGTAAAAATTAAAGAAGTATAGTAGAAGCGTCCAAAATTGTTCAAACTTAAAAATGATCGGTATTATTAAACATGTATCGAATTATCTTAAATGCTATTCTACATATCTAATATGTCCCTAAAGTGACTCTAAATAAATCTGAATATTTCTTGTGTATCTCAGTCCGAAATATTCGTTAAAGTCAAATTTTTAAAAATTCAGAATACCATCCACCCTTCATCAAATTAACGCATCGTATCCGTATTCCCTGCCCCAGAAATAAATATGTACCTTGACTAACTCAAAATTGGACGGACCGCTATCCCCCGCCCAAGGCAACCCAGTGACCTACTGTCGCACGTGACCTACTAAAGGTCTTGGTGAATTTCCCTGGAGGGATGTGGGTCACCTTTGAAGATCAGAAGCAGACTTTGTGGAATCCACAAAAGCCGGTGATTATTTTCTAAATTTGTATTGGCTGTGACGTAAGACACGGACATGTATTTTTTTTTTATTTTAAATATCGATTTCGTTTTAGTGCTGGGAGGGGATAGGAAACTTCAACATCAATGGAAATATTACGTAAAATTGCTATAAATAGATTTCTTTGTTTCTTTTTGCTTTCTAGTGGAGGCCGATAATCGAAACGACGTTTGAGAGTCGTTTTTCTTGAGAATTTGTTGATAATTTTTACAAAAGTAAAAAAAATTCCTCTTTAGACCTAGCGATCCAGTGGGCAGATGAAGTAGAGTTCATATGTTTTTGAACTTCGGTATATGAAGGGGTGGCGTGGTCAACGCTGCTATGCCCAGCCGCTTTTACTTTCCCCAACGTAAGTCCGGTACCCATCTTAGCTGGGTAGACTCAGGTACGTCCTGCAGTCACACGTCTGAACCAAGATCCGAAATCGAAACCTTCGGGCTAGCAGTCAAATGCTGGCATAGTTTATAGGGTTTAAAAGGTTGTTGTTGTTTTTCTCCGATATGGTAATGCGGACATTGTTACCGACTGATAGTCATTAACCTAAGGTAAAAATAGCAAAGAACCGAAAATTGTGTAAGGATGATATAAATGGTATATGTTTCATTTGGGAGTTGAAGAAGACGAAGAAGAAGAAGAGGTCGTTAACCCTGATACGAATACTAACACTAAGAGCCGAAACAGAAAATATACCAGATATAGTGCTGAGTGTATACCCGGAAAATATCGGAGTGTCCCTTTTCATTACAACATCAATGCGGTTTAAGTTACCTTAGTCTACCTATTGATCTATGATAGGAAACATACATGAGGGTTAGGGTAAGAAAAGATTAGCTGATGATAACCAACTGTTTCCCAGTTCATCGCCCTCTTTTCCTGTTCGTGCCCAAATCGCATGAAGTAGAGTTCATCTGTTTTTCAGTGACTTCGGCATACAAGAGGATAGTGTGGTCAGTATTATGCCCAGCCGCATTGGTTTCCCTAACGTGAGTTAGGTACCCTTCAGAGATGGGTGGGCTCAGGGTTAGCAGGCTAGCGCGCTAGCGCGCTACCACTAGGCCACGCAGTCCCTTGTATACAAGTTTGAGATATGGTAAAGAATTTGAGTTGATCATGAGTGCTATATGGATGGTGTATGTTTCAGACTGTTTTCTAGGTTATATTTAAGATTAAGGTAAGAAAAAACAAGATGGCGGGACGGAGCATACGCTTGTATGAACCTATACCTCAAGCTAGGGTTATGGTAAGGAATGAGAAGCTGGTGAATATTGGAGAATTGGAGAATATGCATGTATGAACATGTAACTCAATTTAGGGTTATGGTAAGGAATGATAAGTTAAAGGTTAGCGGCAATAGTATGTAGGATTCTACACATCACGTTTCGGTTAAGGTTATGTTCAAATATAATATGTTGAGGATAAACGGCAGATGTATGTCTGACTATATGTAACTTAAATTAAGGGGTTTTTTTAAAATAAGATAAGTTGATGTTGAAGGGTATGTGTATGTCTATAATGACTCTCTACCCTTAAGTTTTCGCACATCCAAATGGGCGGCACACAGCAGGAATGAGCATGTACTCAGAAAAAAATATTTCATCGATCGATTGATTTTTTATAACACACATGAATTTGTGTGCTTTCTGTACTAAACTAACTAGAATCAATCAGATGTAACTGTTATTAAGAACGTTAGCAAGTTGTCTGTTAAAATTTAACATTCGCTCAACTATTGTGGGTTCGAATCCTTATTAGACTTACATTTTTAATTCACTTTTACAAAAGAAAATAATATACAAATTTAATTGTACTTTATTCGTTGACTCTTGAGTCTACCTTTTACGCCTTGTCGTGAAGAAATAGTAAAATAACAAAATACTACAATTATTTTAAAAATCAAAACACTAATAGGACTATTACTGCACCGTCAAGGGGGTCCACCGAAAAAATTTCTTAGAGGCCCACCGAGATTTTTTTCAGTTAGACCGGCGGGCCAGTCTACCTCTATATGTGAATATATATGCATACATTCAATTTAATACACATGTTTTGATAACAACGACCCCGTCGATAAAACAACAACAAACAAAAACTCACTACACAGAATAACATTGATCACTTACTTGTAACTATTCCCTTATCACTCCACTCAACCACTTAATCTTTCCGAATCCGAAAAAAAAAAACTCCAGCATCAAAGTGCGATCCCATCTATAATGTCAGACACGCCGACAACCCTGACACAGCGACGGCAGTTTGTGTCATATCCCCCCAGCGGTTTCCCGACTGACAGAAGCAACCTGTCTGAAGAAGAGACGTCTTCCCCGCGCGTGCTACTCCCTCGACACACTTCTGCTAGTCTTGGGGCCGGCGGCGCGAGCAGGCGGTGGGCAGGTTTTTTTATCGGGAATCGATGTTCGTGGCACAAGCTCCTTTGCCTGTTTGGCTGTTCGATAGCGCCGTGGCTGAGCCGTCGTCATCGTTTTTTTTTAAAGGTGATGCGAACGTCTTGCTCTGTGTGTTTTCTTTACCTACTAGAGCTAGATTTAGATCTATATCGTAATAGGCACATCGTAATAGGCACTAGTGTACATTTTGATTTTATGAGATGTATGTGTATCCACCCCCCCCCCCCCCCCACCCGAAGCACGTTGATCACCCCCAAGGAAATACAAAGACATATTGGGTGACTTCCATTTTTTTTTTAAAGGCGGGCATCCATTTGATGATACCACACTTATTTGGGCGATTTTACCACCCCCTCCCCATCGTCACTAAAAGCCAGTTCCCCCCCCCCCCCCCTCCAACTCCTTATGAGATGTCACACCTTTTTCGATGTTGTATTTTTTAAAATATCGATTTCTTAGTCAAATATGTTATGAGCTTGTTGACACATAGTTTATTTTGATCAATTTCAATTAGATCTACAATTTACATAGAAACAACCTTTAAAAGCCGGTTAAAGTTCAGTTTCTAGTTTACTTTTTAAAATGCAAAATTGCCTCGTCACATCCCCTCCCCCCCCCCCCCCCCTTTCTCTAACAACGTCACAAATTTCTGAACCTTCCCCATAGCAGTGTAATATGTATGTATAACCCCAAAGGAAAAAAATATTAATCGATACAAAATATATGTTTTGTTTCGTTTTTATTACCTCAAGGCATTTTAATAAACTATAAATAAAATAATTACAACTTTTTAAACTTCCGGTGTCCCAAGTCCCATTTTAAAAACCAAAACAAAACTTCATTAGCATGTCGAGGTAACATAAAAGTTTACATTTTCTCTGGTTTTCGCGCCATCCGCCATGACAACAGAAGGCTAGCGGCAAGTATGGGGTGTGGCACAAGTTTCCCCGCGCCCAATTTAAACAAAGAAGGAAACGAGCCTTCGACGTCTGCGCCTGTATCGCCTGCCAGCCCAAACGATTCACCGAAGCCTAGATCTAGTTCAACACCCGACAACCAAACTGAGAAAACCACCCTCGCTGTTCCGGAAAACAAAACATCCACAAAGGAGCCCAGTTTCACGGCGATTACCGTCAATCTTTATCCAGAAAAGTCCCGAAATTCACAGGACCAAGGCAGTTTACCGAAAGACTACACCGGGTTGGAAAAATTCGACGGTCAGCGTTACAGTAATGTGAAGTATCTTCAACCAGCCGGCTACGACCGGATTCGACCCAAAATGATTCCAGTTCGACTAGACAGTCAGGGGTACCCAGACAGAAAAAGTGCACCACATCGGGAAGACCAGAGACCGACCAGCGCGGTCAGTCGCGATTCCCGACCCACTTCGTCCGTGCAGGTCAGAGTGACCTCGTCCAAAGGAAAAGTTGTCAACCCTCAAGAGAGAACGGGTAGATATAAGAATGTAAGGGTTTTCAACATGACGTTGACTTTTTTTTTTTGCTGATTTCATTTTTTTTTCAGAAGATGCCGATGCCCGATAATAGACTCTTCCATAAAATAGGTGTGTTGGGTTGTTAGTAGTGTTGTAATCTCGACTAATTTTATGGTTAGAAATTAGGGTTAGGCGTATGATAGGACCAGAGGCGTAGCGAGGGGGGGGGGGCGGACCGCACCGGGTGACACCAAGGCAAAAAATAGCAAAATATATAGAGAAAAATTTGAGGGGGGGGGTGCAAATCAAAAATTTGAAAGTTTGTCCCCGGGAAGGATCGCTACGGCTCTGGGGGGTGACACCATTAAGTGCCGCACCGGGTGACACCCGACCTCGCTACGCCACTGGGTAGGACTCGGGTTAGGGACAGGGTTAGCATTGACATCAGCCAGCAATGTGTGTATTTATTTAACTACCAGTAGCCTAACACCCCTTTTTTTAAAGAAGATTCTATTATTGGACACTGGTATAAAAATTCCCCCGAATACCGTTTGGGGTACTGGCAGTGTTGTAATTAAATTAAGCATCACTCCTAAGGGGTGGGGTGTGTCCATATATCGCAGAAAATCGAATTATTGAAGTATTTTTTATGGTTTGAAACTCAGTAAGATCTAAGGGGTCCAGAGGCGTAGCGATGGGGGGGGGGCATATGTCCCCGGGTGCCGACCTTAGGGACGCCAAAATGGGTTGGAAAAACAAATCGAAAGTTTGATTGGGGGTGCAAATCGAAAGTTTGGCGCCGGGAAGGGTCGCTACGCCTCTGAAGGGGTCGTCAATAAATGACGTCATGCTTTTTAATTTAAGCGATGTTTTCCGACCCATTTCTCCAAGGAGTCTGACGTCCTTTATGAACTACCATAAATTACGTCACCCTTTTTACGCGATTTTAACCCCCACTCACCTCCGTCATTCATCATCTCAAAGGCCAAGACTCCCCCCCCCCCCCTAAAAGATGGCGTCACATATCAGACTACAACCCCCCCCCCCCCCCCCATCATATTTGCAGATGATTTTTTTTAAACATCGATATTTTTTTTTCTAAAATATTAATTAATTACTATTACAATTTATTAAACAGGGATGTGGCTTTTCCGAATTTTAGCGGAAATCCGATTTTTCCGTTTCAGCTGCAATTTTCCTCCGCTGATTTCATTTTTGCCGAATTTTTCCGCCGATCTTCGATTTTTGCCGAAGTTTTAAAAATTAGGAAAAAAAAACGAAAATGACATCTACGGAAACGGCCGACTTGCGCATTCCATATATTCGTATTTAAATCGAGAATTACAGTACTTAGATCAAATATGCACATTTCTTTTTAATTAGACGATTGCGCTAGGTCTGACGGTGCTAGATTAAGATGAAATATAGATCTAGGTCAAGATTCAGAATTTCTGCGAATTTCAGTATTTTTCAGAACGCAATTTTTTGGTCCAAATTTTCCGCTGATATCAGTTGAATATTTATCAAAAACACGGGAAAAAGTACTCTAAAATAATGCCTTTCTTCAAATGAAACTCGCATCTCCCTAGCCTGGTAATCTAGCTATCGATATAGCCTAATTTATCTTTCTGTATTTTAACCCACCCAAGTCTTCAGTTTCTCTCTGATTTTATTTTATTTAGCTATCTAAAATTAATATTAAAATCCTTGCAAAAGGTGACTATGAGGTCTAGACTACCCCCCCCCCCCCCCCTTGTAGTAACCGTGGCTCTTGTGACCTCACCTTGACCCCCAAGTACGTGTTTGGTACTGCTTGTGGGAAAAAAAAAATTAAAATGACGTCACAGTAATTTCAAATAGCTGTTCCTGCAATACCTATGCTATAGGCCTACAGATTAAAAAAAACTGAACTCAACGTGACTCCGAAGAAAAAATACGACATGGACTGTTATTAATAAGGGGTCTTCCATAAACAACTTCACACTCGTAGTGGGGGGGGGGGGTCCGTAATTTTGTGACGTGTTATGAGGGAGAGGGGGTCAGATAGTGTGACGTCATATTTTTTTATTTTAAAAAAGTAATGTTAGAAACTGAATTTTAGCCGCTATTACGCGTTTTAGAAAACTTTAAAAAAAAAATTGTAATATAAATTAATTAAAATACCCTACGTTGGTCGAGCTCAGTCAATATTTAAGAAAAAAAATCGATGTTTAAAAAAAAATTCAAATTCAATATTGAGGAGGGGGAGCGGTTGTTGGCTGAGGTGTGACGTCATTTTAGGGGGGAGGGGTCTGTCTTTTGTGATGGAGAGGAGGGGGGAGGTAAAAAATCATTTAAAAAACGTGACGTCATTAATGGATGACCTCAAACAATTTACAGTTAAGCCATTCCAAAAACAAAAATAACAATGTGGTTTGGCTATCGAAATGGTTAACTTTGGTTCACATATCAGACCCTTTCTAATTTCAGCTAATCTGGTCAATTTGATTTTCCATCACCTGAACCCAAAACTTTCAAATTACAATTAATCTGAATCTAGGCATTTTACAGTTGAAGACTAACATTTTTACCATGCCAATCTTTAAAAGAATATAAGGCATAATTTAAAATTGAAAACAAAAGTGTAACTAGACTACATTAGTACACTTTAAATTAGCTAAATGTTGAACTTAATTGCCACTTTTGTTACATTGTAATTGTAATTTTTTTTTTTTAAAGTTGTTTATAAGTTAACACATTAAATTGCAATTCGACAAGACTTTCAATGTCATTTTAGAGTAACATAAACTTCTTTTATTTATAATATTAGCTATATTAAACGATTAATTAGAACAGTAATGGCGTGAGACTGCTTTAACTGCGATTAAAAAAATAGATAAAACATATTGAGTTCTTGTCCGAAGAAAATTTCCTAATTTTTTTCCCTGGTCTGGTCACATCCCTGATTAAAACAGTTGTCTAAAACTCGAAATAATGGCTAAAATTCAGTTTCTAAAATTACTATTTTTAAATGCAACAGTGTGACTATCTGGACTATCTGAATCTCCCCAAATCGCACGTTGTCACAAAATTACTCCCCCCCCCCCCCCCAACAAAAAGAAATTTTATAGAAAATATATACTTTTAACAGTGCCGTCGTCCCTGGGAAATTTTAGTCCCCCCCCCCCCCCCCACTCCCATATCAAGTGCCTCCCCGGATAAAAAAGTCTGAAAGAAACATGTGGCTAAGGCCCATCCGCTTACACCTTAACTGTGATATTTAAGCGTTTCCTTAGAAAGTGTGTCAAAGAAAATAGTTGTATAGGTTATGCTTGTTCAGACCCGCCCCTCCCCTAAAATGATCTCAGACTTCAGCCAACTATTACCCTTCTCCTTTTTAGAAAAAAAAATGTCAAGTTTTTCCTTTTAATAAAACTTTACTGGTCTTGATCCACATTCATTAATACTTATTACAGTTTACTTTTTAAATAGAAACGTTTGTCGCCACACTTTGTGAACCTCCACCCCTATGTTCGTCACAAAAGTAAAAAAAATCCCCATAGGAATATGACTTATTTTGTGGACGACCCCCCCCCCCCGAAGAACGAAATGGAATTTATAAAGAAACTATATACTTTTACCAGTGTCGTCGTCGTCCCTTCTCTCTCCTCCCCCCCCCCCCCCCCCCCCCCACGAAAAAAAGTCTGGAAGCAACACCGTATGGGAGACATACAAAATTGAAATAGTATGTTTAGTATTCATGACTTCAATTTCAAAATAATCATCCTGGCACCATGTATTCATTACGTTAACTAGCTGAGAAAGTAGATTCTGTCATTTTAAAACGTAAGAGCATTTTTTAACATATTTTTTTTTCAAAAATGTAGGTTAACTTAAGGTAGTTGGCTCCAATAAATGTATTGCGCGTTTTGTACAAATAAATATTTATAGATACAATTATGTAAGCCTATAGTTTTATTTTCAATATAAAACAAATATCGGATGCTGCAAAATCGATGTTCGTGACTCTAAATTATAGATCTAGGGCATAGAATTATAACTGCATTAACTTAGATCTAGAAATATCTATGCACTGCATTGTGTGTCTCCGCTACTCTCCCGGACCTTGAACTTGAACTAAATGTAACCTTCATCAACCTATTCTTACAATTAAAAAATCTTTTTTTTTTCATTTCGAGTTTTGATGAATGTCGTTAAAATCTTTGTAGAGTTAATGATATTATTATAGAAATCTAGATTTAGCCTACAGATGAAAATTGAGAAGCGCTTGTGTTCTACGTTGCGTGTAGTTTTGACGTTTTGTGTATTATTTATAAACTAGAGAGCTCTACATTTGTTTCACTTTCGATTTTTTTTCCGCCATAGCTACCGGTGTAAACAATTAGAAAATTGATTTACTGAATTATTAAACAATGCCAAACTTAACAAAACTGGAACTGTTCAAGTGTATTCCAGGATAAAAAGTTAATAGTTTTTACAAAAGAAAAATCAAATTTAAAAAAAAAGACAGAACTTTGAAATTTGTAATGTTCTTCTTTCTTCCCCCCCCCCCATTTGATTCAATTCAAACTTCAAAGATTCTTCATTCAATCAGTTTTATTCAGTCATTTAAAAAATGTATTCAATCAATGTTTATTTCAATAAAATTTCAGATAGATTACTTAATAGATCTAGACCTGGTCTAGAATAGTCTAGACTAGATCTACTTAGTACTTGACAAGACAAAGCATCAAATTGCCTATCCCATCCTAACTCATGGAAATTCAGAAACTGTTGTTGTTGGGTTTTTTTGGGGTATTAGAAATGAATAACAGGCCTACATTTTTTAAATTATAAAATATAAAGTCCGTGACCTAAATAGTAAATGACTAGGCCTAAATGTTGGCCTAACTATAAAATACGAGCCGACCCGTGGCGTATCATACGCTGCTATTTAGTTGTTTTATTTTCTACTTTTCAGTAATTCATAATTTGTGAATTCGACAGTATCAATGCTGCCACTGAAAATATTTGCTTTAAAACACTATCAGTAAGTCGTTAAGGACGATAACCCCCCCCCCACCCTCCTTTCCCCCAACCCCTACCCTACCCCCCATGAAAGCAGCCTCCTCTTAGTTACCTCCCCTAAGTTTAAAATCGTTTCAAACTAAATTATCTGCCCCTAATAGCCATCACTAAACCCGTCTCTACGATTGTAAACATTTAGCGTGAACCACAGCTCACCAGACCATGTGGGGGTGGTGGTGTTTTCAAGGGTATCCAAGAAGAGAATTATATATATAGATTATATAGGCTTAGGGCCTAAGCCTATATTATATTTAATTAAAAAATTCATTAAGTCTAATTATTAGTAATAGGCCCCTACCTATAATTGAAATTTTTAGAATGAATGTGTTGAAGTGTCTCCTAAATATTTTTTCAATTAGGGCCTATTTTTTAAAGTTTAGAATTTATTTAGTTAAGCTATAAATTATTTAGACCTATGGCCTTTACAAATATAATAATATACGTACTCTACACTATTTGCAGTAAAACATAATGGTTGTTTTTTTTTTAAATATAGTTAACAGTGACAATCTGTGATGTTGATTCTGTGATGATTATGAAGCAGGATATTTTTTATATATTTTTTTTAAATATGTGAACATTTATTTAACAAATTTATGGATAACACGGGGTAAAGTATCATCTATACATGTAAAGTATGGGATGCAACAGTAGCCATCTGACGTATTATCCAACTTCTAAGGACAGGGATGTGCCCATAAAACGTGTAGACAGCCAGAAGATACTAGTGTACCTCCAGCAGCCTGTGTATTATTTTCAAAACAAATCAACGTTGGACACCGCCGTACGAAACAGCTACAATTCACCGAGAGGCTCTAACTTGGTGGAGAGTGACTATACAGGATACACCATTGCCTCTGATGCTACATTTGTACATGCTGTGAGTTGCGCTTTATTTTTAATTTTTTTTTTTTCTACTTGTGATAACTTCTTCTTGGTTCTTACTTCTAGTGTTAGAAGAGATTCCCTCCAACACCATTAAGTATTACGTGTGACCTTGTTATGCACCATTTAGACCAGGGGTTCCCAACCTTTTTCTACTCTAGAGTACATTCTAAAATATCGGTAGGGTGGCGGGCACCACCTATTTTAAATCGACAAACTCCTTCCATAACTTGTCATTTTCCCATAATTTATTTTCTTATTTTCTTATAGTCATAATGTATTAATATATAATAAACAAAAAGGTTTCAAAATAATAAAATTATTTGGCATTTTTTTCAAATAGCATACACACAGAGAAATGTATTTACAAAATGTGAAAAAATTCTGTCTCTGTCGAATAGTGAGAGGCTGGCACATACGAATCGTTCAGCGGGCGCCATGGCGCCCTTGGGCACAGGGTTGGGAACCCTCTGATTTAGACCGTTCACTGATTTCAGTCACAAAATCAAACAACTCTGCTTTGTAGTTTGTTTTTGGTAGGACAAATAGGGGGTCGGTGTTGTCAAGTCGGTAAAGATCATGGTAAATGAAAAGTCTCGAGTTCGAACCTTCGGGCAGATGAGGCTCATTAGCTGGGGACAGCCACTCTTCTAGGAGAGACAACTCCAAAATCAAACAACTGCTGCTTTGTAGTTTGTTCTTGGTTGGGCAAAAGCTATGGAAGCAAATCCAAAAAGAAAAACAGGCTGAAATCTGAGTCATTGGCCTCTATGGTGCATAACCAGTTAATTAATTGTGTTGGAGGGGATTCCTTCCAACACTAAAATTAAGAACGAAGAAGAAGGTAGGACAAAGGCTATGGAAGTAATCCTAGAAAGACATCAGAGTGGGCCATGCAGCACATAACATGTTGACATGTAAAACTTAAGAAGAAAGACCTTTGTTTTTACAAGTACATTGTGGGCTCAATGTTTCCAAAACCTTGGTCTTGCTCGGCTATCCAAATTTCATCTGCCCTAAACGTTAACTTTATCTGTTCTAAAAGTGAACTTTATCTGATAGAAAGGTGGATTTAATCTGCCCTAAAGGTGAACTTTATCTCCCTAAAAGTGAACTTTATCTCCATAAAAGTGAACTTTATCACCCTAAAAGTGAACTTTATCTGTCCTTAAATTGAACTTTATCTGTTCTTAAATTGAACTTTATCTGACAGAAAGGTGAACTAACATCTACCCTAAAAGACTGTTGTAAGCTATTGGGCTTGTAAGTTGTTAAAGTAGCTTACCAAGTTCTCGCTCCGGTAGTTGCCAGCTGGCGTTTTTTTTGTTTTTTCAAACCAAATGTGAATATTTTTTATTTTTATTTTTTTAAGTTATGAAATCTACTTTCGTTTTTGGAATAAAAAAAAAACTCCGACAATAAGTTGTTTTAAGTAAATTAAGTTTAAAATAACACACACACACACATATATTATATTTTATATAGATCTAGAATACAACCTGTATAATAATAATACATCTATAATCTATATAAAATATGATATTTATAGGCCTAAAAGATTTCAATCGTAAATCTGAAATCAAGCCTAATTTAATTAATAAATATATATAGCCTAGATCTAGAATTCTATATCTAGATCTATGACTTAAAAAAACCCTCTTGAAAATTCCGACTTAGACAGTAACATACGACATACAGGATTTATTTTTAATTTATAGACTCAAGAGTAGTCTAGAGATCTAGATTCTAGATCTAGTTTCTTTTATTTTACAGTGTAGTTGAGTGGAATTAATTACTAAATTACTAAATAGGCTATTTACTTTAAGACAGGTAGACTAGAATATGTTCAATATCAATTTATATATAGAATCTAGATTATTCTAGATCTAGCGAAGTTTAGTGTAGTCTTGTTGTAGAACTTAAGAACTAAATCTAGAGTGTAGGCAACTGTAGTAATTTAGATCTAGAATCTAGTACTGTGTGACGTCATTTTAGGGGGTGGGGGTCTGGCTTTTTGTAACGATGTGTAGGGGGAGGGGGGGGGGATAAAAATCGTCAAAAAATACGTGACGTCATTTATAGATGACCCCCATGGAGAAGATCCACACAGAAACAGTTGAAGGAAAGGGGCCTAACATTCAAACAGGTAGAGGTACCAACATGATTTTAGAGATTATGTAGATATACATATATATATATATATATAGGGGGAGGGGTAGAGAGAGAGAGGGTTCATCTGTAAATTGCATCACACATTTTATGATGATTTTTACCTCCCCCTCATAAAGGAGGGCAGTAAAAAGAAGAATGTATGATAGCTGGGTAATCCTAATTTATATAATCAGATTATTGTGGTAAATAAAAGTCAACATATCTAGCCTAACAAAATGCCATGAATTTAAAATATATATTATGACTTAGAGAAAGTTTGGTGAAATGGAAATATCTGCAAATTTGATTTATTGATGATGTGTAACTTAGTTATATTATTCCTTTGGAGCTGATATTAATAAAAAGTTAATGAGATTATAGAGTTTTATCCAATTGATGTTTCTAAAGCCTTGCATGAACTTAATTTAAATATATTTAGCTGCCCAGGCAAAGAACCCAATGAATTTTCCAGAATTGGCTTGTCGTTTGACCGATGGTAACAAAGAGAATTACCCAGGATCTTCGCTGATAAGAAAATCTGAAGACATACCTTATTCTTCTATATCTAAATGTGATTTGTCTAATGAAAATATTTATTCAGTGACAATTGCTAAAGATATTTTACCATTATTTCAAACATCATCTTCTGAAATGTTGTTTTCTATCTCTAAACCTTCCACAATTTCCTAAAGTTTCAAGAGATATTTTAACATCATTGCCTACTTCCCACAGTTCTTATGTTCAAAATTTGCAATTTTCTGAGAAACAAAGTAATAATAAATTTGTACCCAGTGTTTTAGTTTCAGCTCCATTAAAATTTAATAAACCAATCAATTTCAAAATTAAATGTTTCTTATCCCATATGAAAGTAGTCTGTTTTATTTAAGAAAAATCACCTTTAAAAAAATTTAATGTTTGAATGTCAATAAATTGTTGACATGGACTGGTTTGTGGGTAAGCTTTTATACTTAGTGTACAATAAAGATTCAGTTTTGATGTCAATATAGTTGCTTCTGAAAGACTTAAACTATAAACAATAGCATTTATATTAATATCTCAATGGCAGTTCAGTATACTTTCATCATTGTTTTCAAATAACAAAACAGAACTACAGTTTTAAAATTGAAAAAAAAAATGAAAAGAATTTCATAAATGGATGGTTTTTTAATTACTTAAAACAGAAGATGCATCAATACAGCATTACAATGTATGATTAATATTTCTTTTCATGGACAATCATCATTTAAATTCTTCATTAAAAATTAAATTCAGCTTCCTTGTGTCTAAAAATCCACATCCATGCTGTTCCATTTACCTAGAAATTAAATAAATAATATTTTTAACAACTTTCTGTAATATGAAAAAATTAATCATTGATTAAAACAGACAGCCAATATAGCAGTTGAATTAAAATTCACCTGTTTCTGTGACATTTGCATGTAAAATTAGAGTGTTCAGAGGTATATACCCAGCCACCTTTAATTTCCCTATCTTGAGCCAGGTACTCATGAGAGCTGGTACTCATGAGACTTAGGACATCATACCAGGACTAAAACCAGGGATCTGAACTCTTATCTTTTAGGATAGAAATGTGAAAGCTACTGTCTGACAGTCCCACTATCAAGCCATACATATTAATACTTACAGTATATAATCTTAGTAGCAACATATTCTTTAAGAATTAGAACACTGAATCGATTTCAAACTTGGGCTTAAGCTGAAAAATGGCTTATTATAAAAAAAAAAATTCAGCTCACCTTTAGTTCAAGATCAGCACCAATAGCCACAGTAAAGTGTGAGAAAATTGCTTGCCAAGTACCTAGGGAATTTAAATATAATAAATTATTAAGTTTATCCATATATTATATTAAAATAATTATTTAACTAATATGAGATATTAATATATATATATATATATATATATATATATATATATATATATATATATATATATATATATATATATATATATATATATATATATATATATATATATATATATATATATATATATATATATATATATATATATATATTATATATATATATATATATGTGTGTATATATATATGTGTGTATATATATATGTGTGTATATATATGTGTGTGTATATATATATGTGTGTATATATATGTGTGTGTATATATATATATATATATATATATATATATATATATATATATATATATATATATATATATATATATATATATATATATATATATATATATATATATATATGTATATATATATATATATATTTATAAAAGGTTTAATTTATTGTAAAGGTTCAGTTTTCTATCTACTTAGCTTGTCTTAAAAACTAAAATATCTGGTTTACAGTTAACCATATCTTAACTATTACAAAACTATTAGTTTCATTTTCATTACTTGTAACTAAAAATTGTAGTCAATAGATCTAAAACTTAATTCTATTAACAGCTAACTGTAACCATACTGACTCTGACCAATTTATTAATTTTTGTACCCTGTAATTCATTAATAATTAGGCTTATACTAAAAGGCCGAAAGTTATCAATTGTAGATTTTATAGTCCCTGGTCTAGACTAACAAGACTAGCCTGCAAGTCTAATAGTACTAATACACATGATCTAGTTTATAAGTTTACTACTAGGCAACTTGCTAGAAGACTAGTACTTAACCAAACTTTAACTTGCTAAAAATAAAAGGGCCTAATACAATAGTAGATGGCCTAGTAATACTTTTTTTTTACTGTGCTACTTACACTGCTTTTGGTAATATTACTACGGCTAACTAACTACTAACTAAACTCTATTGTAGCTTGATGGAGATCTATCATCTTGCTCTTCTAGTAGTCTACACTACTTACTACTTAGAAAAGTAGTAGCACTACTGTAACAATTTCAAACTAAATTTAATCTATATATTACTAGATCTACTCATTGCAACACTGTAGTCTGATAAGTCTGGTAAGCCCTAAATGTATCTAGACCTAGATTCTAGTCTAATTTAGTTTCAGTCTAGTTATTAGTACCTACACTCTACAATAGTCTACAGTACTCTACACTACACTCTACTACTACTCTAACTCTAATCACTCTACTGGCTACTGATCTAGATCTAGTAAATAGCTAGAGTAGATCTAGTCTAGATTCTAGATATAAAAAAAATTGATTTAAAATTAAAAACAGGTTAGCCTTACTACGCTAGGCATTACTAGCTCTTACTAAACTTAACTAGGGTTGGTTTTACCTAAACTAGATCTAATCTAGATCTAGAATCTATATAGATTTTAGATCTAGGGCCTACCATAACTACCATCTGCAACTAGAATCTAGATCTAGATCTATTCTACTATCTCTATCTAGATCTAGTAATACTATCTATCTCTAGATCTAGATCTAGCCATCTATCTACAAGCTACTTCTAATAACTAATAGCCAATAGGCCTACTTCTAAAATATTAAACAGTAATCACTGAGTAATCAGTACTAGAGTCTAGTTCAGTAATCTAGCTAGATCTAGGTCTATTAACATTAACATTGTTGTCTAAGTTCTAGATATCTAGATCTAATATCTAGATCTAGAATCTAGATTCGATTAATATTAATTAATAAGTAGATCTAAGTCGTAGGCTGAGTGAGACTGGAAGTCATCCTCATTTTCCTGTTGTTTTAGTTTTTACTGTCATCCTTTTCTTAATACTTTTAATATTTTATCTAGATCACTAAAATACTAGATCTAGAATCTAGATCTAATATATTCTAATTCATGAACTTATACTCTTAGAACTAGATTAAAGCAATGTAGATCTTAGTTGGTAGATTCTAGAATCTAGATCTAGGTCTAGATCTAGATCTAGAGGTCTGGGAATCTTAAGTCTCGTAGCAAAGACTGAGTAGAGTCAGAGTAATGTCCCCTAGCCTTGGACAAACTATCAACAAAAGAAATAAAATCAATATACTTACCGCCACAAAACTTTTATATTCAAAAATGCATACACATGTGTTTGTTCCCATCCATATGAACAAAACAGCGTTGAAAGTTTTTACAGTTGTTGCATTTCTGGAACGTTTGATGATTTTGAAATCTTGAAGCGGGACCTACTAACAAATAGCCGCCATGTTTTTTGTTATCAATGGGAAACCCCGTTCACAACAATTGATTTAGTTCGAAAACTTTTATCTCTCCCTGGCTAACCAGACACGAATTAACGCGAGAAAGAACGATAAACTTACAAGTTCTATACCAAGATCATTACTTATAACATTAAAGGGAAATAACTCTTACTCAAATGCCAATTGAATTAAAGTAGGCCTAGTTATATAACCTGTTTATTATTTCACCAGTGGCATTGATGTATTGAAATTAAATCAGATTTAATTCAAATGTTATTGAAAAGAGATAAAAGAAAGTGTATTTTGCCTTTGTTAACAAATTTTTAACTATTTGATCCATAAATGAAACAGTTTGTAATAAATTTGTATCGACATGCTCATTTTTATTTTTGTGCACAATTTTTATTTTCTATTCTAATACTCCATGCTTTCTGTGTATTCAAAAACCTGTAGTATTCCAATCAAACTTCTGTATCCAAATTTCAGACAGATGAAAAATATGATTACATTGTTAACCTACTACCTCCAGGACAGTTGTTTGAAGACCTGGAATTCCCGGCCAACAACGCATCCTTATTTTTTGACACTAATGACCCAGCTGCTTCAAAAATAGTTTGGCTACGACCTTTCGTACGTTTTTAATTTTCAGTGTTGACATGTCCATGTAAATATTCTAATGTTTGTTTTTGTTTATTGGGTTTAATATTTATGCCTTTGTTAATTACATTTTTTTTTTGTTTAATTTTAGAGGAATATATCTCGCCAGCAAACAAAAATTCTTAAACATTTTAATTTTTAATGAATTATAATGTCAGTGAAACAAGTGAACTCTAATTCACTTGCCACGTAGACCGTCAGGTTTGAAAGGGAACTTCACTTTTTTTTACATAAATGTCAATGAAAAATATCGATAATACTTTTGTTTAATTTTCTCCGATAATATAAGTTCAATCGAAAAGATTTGAATTTAGGTTTTTATTTACAATCTTTTTTTTTTTGTGCCTAAATTTTTTAGGAAATAGTGGGACCTAATGAGAGACCCCTGTTCATCAAGGAGGGCGTGAGCAGAGCTGATATCATGCAAGGTATTCTGGGTGACTGTTGGTTTTTGTCCTCTTGTGCTGCCATTGCCAAAAGATCAAAGCTGATTAACAAAGTAAGTAGCTGTAGAACAGTGGTGCTTTTTTAATGTACCGAACCTCATTTCATTTGCGCATTTACAGAACCCTTATCAATAGTTCTATCGTCTGCACTGACTCAGCTAGCCATTGGGGTTTAAATGAACCCATGTTAAGAACCACTCTCTAGAATAATTCTAAATTTTTCACAATTGTTTTAAATCTTTGCTGTGCAGGTTCTAAAAGAAATTTTTCTTGTTGTACTAAGGACTAAGGGACATAACTCCCCTTTTAAAAATATTTGCTTAGAATAATTTATTAATTTAAATATCCTCGTGGATTTAAAAATAAAATTGCATTCGCAGAGTAAAATAGGTGCAGATTATTACGAATTAATTTTTATTACAATGCAATAAACATTTTAATTTAGAAAGCAGCATCCAACCAAGGTAAGAGGAAAGTAGGTAGGTCAAAACAAACTTGTAAAAGACAAGTTGTTAGTTTAGCAGAAGCAGACTGAATTTCATGGACCCAACTAGGTGGAATTGTCCCAAACTGAGTAGGATGGAGAGGTGTGGTTGCCTCCCTTTGCTCCACAAGGAGACAAAAGGAATGATGATGATATTGTTTTCAAATAAAGACTATTTGGCAAAAGTATTGTGGTTCCCCTTTCTTGATGCCCTAAGCGTGTGCTTGTATTGCTTAATACTTAATTCAGCACTGAACTACCGTTCAAACTACCTGAATGAACTTGACTACTTACTCATAATGCAGTAATGTATTTCATTACAGTCAGAGTGTCTACTTTTTAATTTCCAGTATGAACATTCCTTCCCTCGGAAGATTTCTTTTCTTTTTATTATTTTTTATGTTGGGTAAATATCATTCTTTGAACTATTTATTCCACACCCTGTAAAAAAGAATTCAGGTAATTTCAGTCAGTCCCTTAGTTTATTAAATTAAGAAGTGATATGTTCTTTGTACATTGTGTTGTACGTTTGACAGATTATCCCCAGTTATCAGGTGTTGTACGGGCCAAAGTATCGAGGGATGGTTCACTTCCGCTTCTGGCGTTATGGAGGCTGGTTACAGGTGATTATTGACGACCGCCTGCCCACGGAAAAAGGGAAATTAATCTACGGCCACTGTACTGACCCAACGGAGTTCTGGGTACCTCTGATAGAGAAGGCATATGCTAAGTAAGCAGGATTACATCTCTTCTATACAAATGTACATACATGGGAGCAGGACATTGCCCCCCCCCCCAATTACCAATTTTATATATATATATATATATATATATATATATATAATTTATTCTCAATTAATATAAGGCCCACTGTTTTTGTTTTAATCTCCTTTTTTTTTATCTATACTGTTCTGTCATTACCTTGAGATAATTGTTTCATATAAATATAACATATCAATAACACATTTGTATTATACTTTTAAAGAGATAAGGCCCTGTAATAGAAAATCTATCCTTATTAAAGATTAAATTTACCATAAAGAAAACAATTTTCTTTAGATTGCATGGGACATACGAGGCATTAGGTGGAGGCATCACGATGGACGCTATGGTTGACTTGACAGGTGGACTTGCGGAGAGATACGATCTCGCTGAGTTCGATTCCTTTCTCTTCAGGCGGATTTACAGAGCCCACAAGACTGGGGCTTTTATTGCCTGCTCAAGAAAGGTTAGAGTTTTTTATTTATTCTGGGTAAGAAATAAGTGCAATAGACCGCATGTACTGTTACTTTTTTTATTATCTTTCTCTTTTGTACTGTTGATTGCCTTCATAAAGTCACATGACTGATTTGCCAGACAGGATAATGAATTTCCTTGTTAAAAACATTCTGACATGTTTTTTTATATTTTATTTATTTTTCTTTGTGTCAGTAACGTATCAATACAAATAGAAAATAATCCCAAAATTTGTGTTTAATTGAACTTAGTTCTTGTTTTTAATGTTGGTTTCATTTGATATTGATCACTCATTGTGGTCAGTGTGTCTGTTTGTTTATCTGTGATGCATCTGTAACTGGTCAGATAATCTTTCAACAGGGAGACTGGAGAATGGCAACCGCTGCAGATGAAAATGGCCTTGTACCTGGCCATGCCTACACCGTCACAAATATTGCTATGGTAAATTTCATTGTTGTTTTAAACATTTATTTATAGCTATACAAATACAATTTTTCGATGAATTCCTGGCAATGTCCCATTCTAAAATATAAAGTGGTGGTTAGTTAAGCTTTAGTAAAGACTCTGTTGACCCAGGAGGTAAAAAGTGGCCATTTAGAAAATTATTTCTGCTAAAAGTAAAAGTAAAGAATTCTTTAAAATGTCATGCTAAAAATTAAATTTAACTGTTGCTACTTGAAAAATTAATTTCTCATTAGTTATCTTTAAAACAAGCTCTTTTTTCAAATGAAAAAATATACTGTTATTATTCATGTAATGTTCTTAGTTTGCATATTAGTTAATCTGGGACTGAAGTACCATGCTGATAAACACTTTTAAATAGCCTGCACTTTATCCTCTGATCTAGGCTTACTTTATTATGTAAATTTTTCTTCTTTGATTTATTTAAGAATGATGATGCATTTATGTTTACTTCACTGGTCATCAGTATCAGAAATATTATTTGCCTTTTTGTTTGTTAAATCTACACACTTTCCTGATATGCACATGCTTGGTACAAACTTGTTTGGAACAAACATCCCTGGTACAAACATCCTTATCACAAACATCCTTGGTATGCACATCCCTCATATGCACTTATTTGATACACACATGCCAGATAGCACATCCCTAAAACTCACAATCCTTGTTTTAATTCAAATGTAGTTGTGTTAAACATAAGAGTGAGAGGTACCTTACAATTAGAATAAGTTTGACACTGTTCAGGTGAGACACAGGCTGGGGGATGAAAGACTTATTCGAGTCAGGAACCCCTGGGGAGATGCTACAGAATGGAAGGGATCCTGGAATGATAAGTAATTACGTGCTTCATCAAATTGTACAGCTTTCTGTAAATTTAGTCCACATATTTTAAATTTACTTAATATTTCAAATCTTACATTAAAATGTTATTCACATCAACCATTTTTCAGTTCCATAGCATTTAAAACCAACCTTGCTTCTTCAAATTGTACAGCTTTCTGTAAATTAAATCCACATATTTTAAATTTACTGAATATTTCAAATCTTACATTAAAATGTTATTCACATCAGCCATCATTTAGTTCCATAGCATTTAAAACCAACCTTGCTACTTAAAACCTTTTATAAAATTTCACCGTAATTTTTTCTAAACCACGGGGTTTTTTTTATCTTCCAATTTTTTTATTCAAATCTACCGTATTTCCAATCCACTATATTTCCAATCCACTATATTTCAAATCCACTATAATATTTCAAATCTACCATATTTCCAATCCACCATGCTATTTCCAATCCATCATAATATTTCCAATCCACCATACTTTCTTCAACCCTTAGAGACGTGAACTGGCAGTGGGTGGACCCAGACACTAGAGACAACCTCCTGGAACACAGCTCACCTGGAGAGTTCTGGATGTCCTTCCGAGATTTCTTTCGCCAGTTTGGCGAGGTGACTATCTGCCTGCTGGGGCCTGACTTGGATGGGGATGGTGTGCCAGAACATGCCGGTAGGTTTGTCTCAGTCACAGGTAGGTGGGTCAGTCTCATGTAGGTGGGTCAGTCACCGGTAGGTGGGTCAGTCTCATTTAGGTGGGTCAGTCACAGGTAGGTGGTCAGTCACAGGTAGGTGGGTCAGTCACAGGTAGGTGGGTCAGTCTCAGGTAGGTGGGTCAGTCTCAGGTAGGTTGGTCAGTCACAGGTAGGTGGGTCATTCACAGGTAGGTGGGTCAGTCACAGGTAGGTGGGTCAGTCTCAGGTAGGTGGGTCAGTTTCAGGTAGGTGGGTCAGTCTCAGGTAGGTGGGTCAGTCTCAGGTAGGTGGGTCAGTCTCATGTAGGTGGGTCAGTCACGGGTAGGTGGGTCAGTCTCATGTAGGTGGGTCAGTGTCATGTAGGTGGGTCAGGCATAGGCAGGTGGGTCAGTCACAGATAGGTGGGTCAGTCTCATGTAGGTGGGTCAGTCACGGGTAGGTGGGTCAGTCTCATTTAGGTGGGTCAGTCACAGGTAGGTGGTCAGTCACAGGTAGGTGGGTCAGTCTCAGGTGGGTCAGTCTCATATAGGTGGGTCAGTCTCATATAGGTGGGTCAGTCTCAGGTAGGTGGGTCAGTCACAGGTAGGTGGGTCAGTCACAGGTAGGTGGGTCAGTCTCATGTAGGTGGGTCAGTCACAGGTAGGTGGTCAGTCTCAGGTAGGTGGTCAGTCACAGGTAGGTGGTCAGTCACAGGTAGGTGGGTCAGTCACAAGTAGGTGGGTCAGTCACAGGTAGGTGGGTCAGTCTTATGTAGGTGGGTCAGTCACAGGTAGGTGGGTCAGTCACAGGTAGGTGGGTCAGTCTTAGGCAGGTAGGTCGGTCTCAGGTAGGTGGTTTGGTCACAGTTAGGTGGGTCAGTCTCAGGTAGGTGGGTCAGTCACAGGTAGGTGGGTCAGTCACAGGTAGGCGGGTCAGTCACAGGTAGGTGGGTCAGTCACAGGTAGGTGGGTCAGTCACAGGTAGGTGGGTCAGTCTTAGGTAGGTGGGTCAGTCACAGGTAGGTGGGTCAGTCACAGGTAGGCGGGTCAGTCACAGGTAGGTGGGTCAGTCACAGGTAGGTGGGTCAGTCACAGGTAGGCGGGTCAATCACAGGTAGGTGGGTCAGTCTTAGGCAGGTAGGTCAGTCACAGGTAGGCGGGTCAGTCACAGGTAGGTGGGTCAGTCACAGGTGGATGGGTCAGTCACAGATAGGTGGGTCAGTCTTAGGTAGGTAGGTCAGTCACAGGTAGGTGGGTCAGTCACAGGTAGGTGGGTCAGTCTTAGGTAGGTGGGTCAGTCACAGGTAGGCGGGTCAGTCACAGGTAGGTGGGTCAGTCTTAGGCAGGTAGGTCAGTCACAGGTAGGCGGGTCAGTCACAGGTAGGTGGGTCAGTCACAGGTAGGTGGGTCAGTCTCATGTAGGTGGGTCAGTCTCAGGTGGGTCACTCAGCCAGGTGGGTCAGTCTTAGGCAGGTAGGTTGGTCTCAGGTAGGTGGGTCAGTCAACGGTAGGTGGGTTGGTGTCTATCTCAGACAGGTTGTTCCATCTCAGGCAGATAGGGTTGTCTCTTAAAACTCATTTTGTTTGTTTGAATTAAGATTTGAATTGATTTGATTTGTGCTAAATTATATCTTGTAGGCCACATAGAAATAATTCGAGGTGAATGGAAACTTGGATACTCAGCTGGGGGCTCACGCAACAACCTTCAGAAATTTATCACCAATGATCAGTACCTGCTCACCATCATTGAACCTGGTTAGAAACACCTGTGTTGTGGCTCTTGATTTGACACTTATTTTTTTTCATTTACAATGTGTCTGGGAATGGGATGGTGTTTTTGAATGGCAGAAGAGTCGACTTCTAACTTGGAATTCTCGAACTTTACTTTTGTATGTGTCTGAGAAATGATTCATTTTGTTTGTCAACACTGTTTCTATCCGGATAATGATTGGCTGTTTGTATAAACTGTATATTTATTTGCCAGATACTTTCTGCCTCTGTAAGTGTAAACTATATTTGTCTCTGTTTCTCCACAACTACATTTTAACCTTCATAAATTTGGCTGTTTCTATAAATGATGTTAATTTATCTGGCAGATGATTTTGACAGTTCTATGGATGATGCTGAGAGTGAAGGCCGGTGCAATGTTGTCATCGCACTGATGCAGCAGCATAGGAAGCCTCGGCGCAACATAAAAATTCCCAACTACCAGATTGGATTTTTTGTATACGAGGTAAAAGATAATCAAGGGGCAAGGAAATTTAAGCTTTATCATGCAAAATATTTGGAGGATTTTTATATTTTAATTATAGATGAAATATAACTGTAATCTTTTATCTGTAAATCAAATACTTTTTTAACGATTTGTTTTTGCTTGGCTTCACATATTGGATCAGAATTTGTGTTTTATATAGTTAAATGTAATGTGAATGTGATACTTAAGTTTCGTTTTAATTTATTTATGTTTTAATATTTCATTCCCAAGTTGGCACTATTTTTTGCTATTGTAAATAGTATGAATTGTAAACAAAAATAAAAACAACCATCCTTTTAGACCAGTAAATTGGAAGATAAGTAGCGTTTATCTGTTTAATGAAATAGTATGGTTAGCTCTGTTCCCAGCCATCCTTGCTTTCCCCAACTCAAGTCAGATACCTATCAGAGCTGGGTGAACTCTGGGACGTTCTATGGGCTCATACAGAACTTTTGATAATTTATATAACAGTTATCATTCACGCTACCCATCCAGCAGCATAACTTGTTTCGTGTCATTAAAATATTTTCTGTTGTATATTTGTTTTATTTTAATGCTTGCATCACATCAAATAAACAACCCGTAACATTTTCATTCTAGACAGAGTATCGGACCAGGAAGCTGCCACTCAACTTTTTCCGATACAACCCAGACTACGGGAAGACCAAGATCTTTGTCAACTACCGTGAAGTGAGTGAAAGGTTTGAATTTGAACCAGGTCACTACATCATCATCCCCACAACCTTCCTGGAAGACTGCCCGGCCCAATTCATGCTTAGAGTTTTTGGTGAAAAAAGGTTCCATTTAAGAGGGTATGTGTTTAAGATAATTAAGATTAATCACCTGCCTCCAAAAAATAATTTATTTTTTCTAAAGCAGTTGATTCCATTATCTCTTTTGAAATGGTGCATGCTATTAGCCAAATCTTATCTTAAAGTATCTCCCTTTGAATAATGCGTTAGTTATTTCCCTTTAGCATTTAACATACAATATTTAGCTATATCTATATATATAATTCTTTTCTGGGAGATGCTAGAAAACAAGCTGTAAACGCGCTCACTACCATCCCCACCCCTACATGGTCTTAGTGAGCTGTGGTTCACGCTATGTTTACCTTCGTGGAGTCAGGTTTAGTGACGGCTATTAGGGGCAGATAATTTAGTTTGAAATGATTTTAAACGTTGGGGGGAGGGGGGGGTATTATGGTCCTTAACGAGCTACTTATAGATTTTTAAAGAAATATTTTCAGTGTCAGCGTTGGTACTGTCGAATTCACAAATTATGAATTACTGAAAAGTAGAAAAAAACAACAACTAAATAGCGGCGTATGTTATGCCGCGGGCCGGCTCGTTTATTTATATTTCTTCTGTAGAAGCAAGTATTTATATTCTGTCTAATATACAGATTTAAATATTTAATTCATGGTGTCATGTTACTTTACATCTGGCATGGTTTTATAAAATGTGCTAAAAGTAAAATAAAACAAAGAAAGACTCCAATTTTCTAAACTGATCTACCATTTTCTTTCAACCCTATTTCTCTAGGCCGCTATCAAGGAACTGAATGATGTTGCTGTTCCATTCTGACTCAGTGTCACGCAGGTGCACCACATGTGTCAAACACATCTTGACCAAGTCACAAGGTCAAGGCCGTTCAGGATAAAAATAAGTGATACTGAGAAGATAACACAAGGCATCCTGAAGTACTGGCAACACATCATGATACATCATGTTGATGCATCATCCCAGTGTGGCTACCCTGATGTGTTAACAGCACTTCATAATGTGAAACATCCTGATATGTTGATAGCAGGTAGTGTTGATGACATGCAAATCTAGCAACGTAAATCCCTGTTTGTTGTTTATCCCAATACAGAGTATATATTTATACATTCCTAGAATTCAGACCAAACTACCTCTTGAAGTGTTGAGAACTTAACTTCCAGATATTGTGATACCACGAGACAGTATAGTGTTGTTTTGTTTGTATGTTGCGATTTGAAAATACTTATTTCTACAAATGTTTATCTACAAATAAGACATGCTTATATTTTGTGAAATGCTTATAATTTATTAAACATGCTGATTGCTGTTTTTGTTTTGTTATCATGTTTTGGCTGCACGAGACACAGTTCTGCTCTCCCCTGTTTGGTTTCGTTTTACAACTACTTCAAATTTAGTAGTTGGTGTTTCAATGAATATAAATACATTTGAATGAAATAATTTTAGCCATTCAAAGGTTAGGTCATATTTCTTGTAATCTACCGGTACTATTTAAAATTGTTTTATTCCACTTAGAAATTTTATAATTGAACTGAAAAAGTAAGTGGAATAAAACAATTTGAATTCTGGTAGGAGAAGGTTTATGTTTAAGAAATCTGTTTAAAAAAATAATTTTTCAAATAATTAATTTTTGGTCTATGTTCTACAAGTAATTTAGACAATACAAATCCCTCCATAAATAAATTAGCTAAATGTTGCAACTTTTAGTTTAGTAGTAAATTTCCTACTGATGCATAACTAAATTTAATACATATAGGTGCAAATTAATATACATAATATAATAACTCATGTTATGTTGGTTATTGTTTAAAGTTTAAGGAAAAAAATAGAGAATTACCAACAAATATGGTGGGTCCAGCATTGTACAAATATGATTTTAAAAAAATATGAATGGGGATAAATGTTTATAAGCTAAAGACAACACCCTCATTAATTATCTTTATCTGTTCCAGTCACTAGCAAATATGTTAGTTTGAGCCTCAGCCACATGTGGTTCATAAAAAACATGAATTGGAACAGATTTTGTAGGACAATTAATCACACACACCCACCCCCACCCCACCCCCACCCCCCCAGTTATTACTCTGCCAAGCTGACACAATAAAAAAAATCCTCCAATCGTTTATCATCAAATCCTAGTCACATGGTGTCATTAACTAGGCAACAGGTGCAGTATTCATAAACAGCTTGTACACAAACAAGAACAAACAATAAAAACAGATGGTCTCATCCAATTAGATTGTATTTGCATACAAAATGTCAATTAAAAGAAAACTAACACGCATCTTGTTGTTACATAAAAATTTATATAAAAATCATTTATTTCTATGACATGAATTAAAACAGTATGATCTTAATTTGTTTAGATATTTGTTAAACTAAGCTAAGTAAGATGCTACTTTTAGTTACTCTTAGTACAATGAGTTATGATGTAAAACTACAATAATATTTGTAATGTTAACTTTCTTTAGATAATTTAATAATAATGTATAGCCACATCTTTCTACAAAATTTGTAGGGATAGTTGTCATACTACATTGATATAGACATTGCTAAAAGTAAATTTCTAGAGAATATGTTACTAATGCTAAACATGCATGGATATTTCTAATGTGAACTAACTATACAGTTGTCCAATCTAGCTGGCAACCTTTTCAGTTGCAAGGCATATAATGCCAATATACTGGCAAATATATACCCATGTAGGATCCCTGATTTCTGCCAAAATACAGACAAATTAAAGTTTTTCATTTTTTTTTAACTCAAGTTTTGAATTACTGAATCTAGTAAATAAAAGTGATTTAGTTGAGTTTTTTTCTATACTTGTATTTATAGAATAATAGCACATAATAACAAAAACTATCCCATATGTTATTTTCAATAACTTACTTTAATTTTAAAGTGTTATATTTAAATAACAAAAACATGTTTGTTACTAAAAAGCTAAACAATTTAAAGTTACAATCTATTGAGAAAAAAAAGAAATGTATCATGCATTCTTTATGGTCAATCACCATAGACCCACTAAGTAATAAGTTTATAAGTTGATTTTGAGGTACAATAATTGACCTGCTATCAACAACATGATAACCCAAGTCACAGTTAACGATAAACAAAAGAACTTGGTGAGTTGCCCAAAAAATGGAAGCATTTGATGCTAAGTATACTGGCAAGTTAAAAACATGAGCAATTCAGACAAAAAACTAGAATAGGTTGACATGTAAAGTTGAGTACATCTGGGAGAACAAAAATGTGAAATTTGAGCAAAGCAATCAATGAAATAGTTAACTTTATTCAAGCTAGCAAACATCACTCAGTGTAAAAACAAAAAAAGTGGTAAGACAACTACATTAGACCAGCAGTGAATGACTTTAGCTCAAGCAGGTCTTTGTATAAAACTGATGACACAAAAGTTTGGCAAGTGGCTGCCACAGTACAAAATACTATAGTGTAATAGTAGTCAAAATTGCGTTACTTCATTAAAAATTATTTTAATCAATAAATCAACTAACAATTACTTTTTTTTAAAAGTATGAACCACTGTAACATAGTGTTAAAATGTAGCCTACTTTAAAGTTTGTTACCCATTTCAGGATTACAGAAAAACCATGCTGACTTCAATGTATTGTAATGTTTGAACTGCATGGCTGTTTTTATTTATTTTATTCGATAGTGGCTGTTACAGAAACAGTTGTCTCTTAGAGCACTCACTGTCAACATAATGAGTGTTTTAAATTTTAACACTTTGGTTGCCATGTGATTTTTATAATGGTTCTTTTAAAAATTGTGCTGTTCTCCACTAGTCTATGGAGCAATCACTAACAAAATATTGACATGTTTTAACACTTTGATTGTTAATTATTTTATAATGTGTCATCAATTTAGGTGATGATAAAAATATTTTGAGCTCACATACAGTGTTTCCACTCCTCTACCAGCCAATGATATTTTTTTTAAAGCCGACTTAACGTAGCTAGTCATTATAAATGGTACGGGTATTCTTAACATACAGAGTAGTAAAAAAAACAGGACATAAAAAATATTGCACTTCTAATAAAAGTCAAAATCAAATTGAAATAACCCTAACAAGTTATAGGAAACATATCATTGCACATTTGCTGAAGTCATTTTGTTTCCTAAATTGGGATTAAGATTGAAAATAAAATAAAATTTGTTCAAATTTATATTATTTCTGTTATGACAGATGGAAATATTCATTTTCACTGCTTTAGATGAATAAACCATAACAAAGAATGGGTGAACTATATATTTTAAACAGTAACACAAAACCATTGAAAAGTGAATAAAAAAGAAATTACCACACAATATGCTAAAAAGTGGGGGATCAGGCTAGATAACAACCTAACAAGTGCAAAATGCAGATCTCACACATGAAACAAAATTTGTACAAAAATGCTCTGTTAGCTGGGACCAGCCACAAGCTCACAAAGTGATAGTGATCTAGGTGGCAACAACAAACCCAAACAACCATCCCTGCTGTATGAAAAATATTCAATTAAAAATGTTCGTCGAACTAAACAAGCTTATAATAAATACAATTATAAAGAGGCAAACTGGCAATATGCTTGTTGTTCATAAAACATTTCTTTTAGTTAAAATTCTTTTTTTTTTACCTTAGCCTAAACAAAGTGTTCAAAAGTTTAACTGAAAAAAAGACTAACTTATAAAAGTTGCAAGTAGTTATTTATATAAGGAACAATTTTTAACTTAATGACAAACACCACCTGAGTTGTTTTTTCAAGGTGAAGAGAATGTAACACTGTTTTGAGTATGTAACAGAGATTTGTGTACTGGGGTAACAGATTTGTGTATTGGGGTAACAGATTTGTGTATTGGGGTAACTTTTATGTACTGGGGTAACAGATTTGTGTATTGGGGTAACAGATTTATACATTGGGCAAGCAAAGAGGATACACATCATGGGAACATCTTGAGAAGGATAAGTCAATATTTTGCAATATTAAAATTAATCCCTAATAAATTAAGGACATATAATGTATTTTAATTATTTATTCCTATAGAAAATGTTAAATCAAAGTATTCAAACATGAAACTGAAAGGATATATTTTTTGATCATGTGTAAACACAGCTGAAAAAAAAATGTACATGTGGGCCCTAATTAGATCAGTGATAATATTTAACTGAAAGCAAATTATTAAGTTAGGCATCAATCAACCACCTTGATGATTTTTAAAACAATAATACTGGTTAAAAGACAATTTTCAGCCATAAATTAAAACAATGCTAACAAAAACTAAAAGTTTACAATTAAATACTGTACAATAACACAGCTAAGTGAAGTAACTATGTCTTTACTATAACACATCAGCTTATTCCTATGTTGTTTGTTTTAAGGCTTTGAGGGGGGGGGGGGGGAAGAAGTTCATTAAAAATATTATATCACAAGAGGTCTAACTAAACACATGTAACGTTACCAGCAACTATATCAAGAATCTTCTAGAACATCAGCCGACTGAGACTCCTGTAACTGCTGTCTAACAAACTCATGCATTTCAGAAAATTCATGGACACCAAGCAGGGACCATGTAACCACTTCCACATTTGAAACTTTGCTCATGGGTCGAAAAGCATCCCCAGGGTCATTTTCTGTACTGTTTTCTAAATTGTTAAACGGGTTAACCCGGCTGTTCCGAGCAAGGGAGTAAGAAGCACTGGCCGACGCTCTAGGCGATGCTTCAGCTTTGGAAGAGGAATAATAACTATCAGTGTTGTACATTCTTCCCAAAATTTGGCTATCTTTCTCTGCTTCACTGATGAGTCTGGCCTCCGCTCCGTCTGAAACTTCTTCAAGTTTACTCTGGAGCTCGGAGACCATCAACTTGACGTAATCGTACCCCGCACAGGACAAGACTTTCATCCAAGATTCCATTTCCTCTTGTGTTTTGGCACTAAGGCAGTAAGACCTGGCCCCATTGGTGCCAAAGTTGATCAGAAAGGCAAAGCCATCCATATCTTCTGCAAGCTCGATGGTACAACCTTCTAGAATGATAACACCAACAGGCTCTAGGTCAGCCTTGTGTTCATAGTAAAACAACAGGTTACCTTTGAGAACAAACCATCGCCGCTGAAAACCTTTATTCAGTTCCCCTTTCTTGTGTAAGTACCCTTCCTTATCTGCTGGGGCTCCAGAGTTAGCAAAGTGGACTAGTCCTCTTTCATTCAAGATTTTCATTCTGGACCAGCTTTTATTTTTATTTTAACCAGCAGTCTCTGTTGTGTAAAAATGTGAATGTTTGTAAAAATAAATTATGCCACATTCTTCAACTATGACTATTTTTTTTAAAATAGCAATAGGTCAATAGGGCCTATATAATTAATAATTAGATTATAATTTATAATCTAATAGGATTTTACTTTACAATAGTAACAATACTACTAATCAATACTTACTTTAAGCTAGATCTAGTAGCTATACTAAAAAAATTAGTCACATCAAATAGTAGGCTTACAAAATTTTAATACTACACACATTGGGTAGGTCTACAGTCTACAGTAGTCTACACTCTGTTCACAGTACTCTTCACTTTACACTCGAATAAGACCTTAGCTTAGGCTTGACTAACGACTAAATCGCTAAACTAGTAAAGTTAAAAACAAAAAACTAAGCACAATCTCAAAAAAATAAACCTAAAAATAAGTGCACAACTCTCAACTAAACTAGATCTAGAATCTAGTAGGCCTATACAAAACAATTTATTTTTATTTTATTTCTGTTAGTCTACAGTTACACCTTCTACTTCCACTACCTACACTACTCTCTGTCTCTCTACTCTTCTACCCAAGTCAAGTGGTATTGAAATTGAATTGATACAGTACAGCACGGTAAGTTAAGTGTTAGACTGTTAGTCTTCTTTCCTAAAATCTAAAAGTAAAACCTAGTCGGCCACCTAGTCTACTACAGTACTAGCTCTAGATGTACTGTAGTAGTAGTAAACTTTGTTATTTTATGCCTATTCAAACTAGATCAAGTCTAGTTGTCAGTTGATCTACTACTGCTACTAGATCTAGTACTAGTCTAGCGAGCAACTGAAGAAATGTAGGGGCGTTGTTATTGTTATAGTTTGGAGTTGAGGGAAATGCAGATCTCAATGGTCATACTAAATTACGTAAGAATGTTTACAAAATATATAGCCGAAGCGCATGCTAAATATTAAAATGTTTTTTAATTCATTTAGATCTACTTTATACTGACTTATAGATCTAGTTAGTATCCCATAGAGAAAATTATTTAGAGTGAGCAAAGTACAGAAAAGGTTTTCGCGTAGGTCGGACTTTTATGAGGGGGGAAGAGGTGGTAAGAAATTATTTTGAAAAGTATTTTTGTGCATTAGATCCATATACTCTATATTGTAGCAGTTATTTCGTATTTTTCCTTTGAAAAAGCTAATGGTTGCTAAACCGATAAGCCCCGAGTTCTGGCAGATGAGGCTCGATAGCTGGGGACAGTCATTCGTCTAGGAGAGACTGGAGTAAACGGCCTAAATGGCGCATAACCTGTTGACACGTATACTTAATCAGAGTTTCTTCCAGGCATCTCTTCGGGGGGGGCTTTGCCCCCCCCCCCCCGAAATTTTTTTACCGCCCCCCCCCCCCCCCCCCCCCCCCCGAACGAAATGAAATTTATATAATTTATATAGAAAATATATTCTTTTAACAGTATCCGCCCCCCCCCCCCGAAGAAAGTCTACCGCCCCCCCCCCCCCCGAAAATTGCAAGTGCCCCCCCCCCCCCCCGGAGAAAAAAGTCTGGAAGAAACACTGTACTTAATTGTGTTGGGGGAAATCCCTTTCAACGAAGACGAAGAAGAGATATCTTGATCTAGCTAGAATATAATTGTTAACCGTAGTTCTTTATTTGGTTATTAGGGGATCTCCATACATGACGCATAACATTTCTGACAATTTTTTACTTCCCATCGTCTATCGTGAAGTAAAAATTCAAACTTTCATAAAACGATCTAACATTTCAGCCTAGCTACCCCTACATTCAGTAATGCAGCACCAATTTTTCTCTACCCTTTATGGCACCCTTACCCAAGAATCTGTGCATCTAAAAATTGATTCAGAAACTAAACTGACTTTTATTTATTTTTTTTAAACTATTTCTATGCTATTGACCATGATTTGGTTATCTATACATAATAAAAATAACAAATACATTTTTTGTGGTCGTATTATAATCAATAAAAGTATTTAAAAAAACATGATTTTAAAAATGCGATAATGTTTTATAAACATAAAAATTCGAAAACTTGGCGGGAAAATAATTCACGAAACAAATTACAGTCGGACTCAATTTTCATTTGTAGAGTCAGAGTACTTGCACATCAAGTCAATCTCACGCTAGATCTAGATCCAAGCTACCCTAGTCATCTTTTCGAAATGCAAAACAATAGTTCTAATGAGGATAGTTTGTTAGAAGACGAAGATGAATCCAGTCATGATTTGTCGCCTTTCGAAGTAGATTGGTATGCTACTATGCACTCACTCTGTCACTGTCCTGTCTGGAAGATCAAAATCTTCAATCTTGTCTTAAAGTTCTTAAACTCAAACTCTTATTCTTAAATCTAGATTTCTAGAAATCTAGGTAAAATCACGATATAGCGTCGGAAATTATTGGGTAATGTTTGTTGAGTTTCGGTAACATTCGTTACTGTAAACCATAGTTTATTTGACCGGTGAAATAAAAATAAAGTCAAGTGCATTAAATTATTAACTTAATTTACAGTTTAATTGACAGAAAATTAATAACAGTTAGAAAATCTAAATATTATTAATAAACTCGAGTGTAGTAATTAATGTTTTTTTTTTAAAGAAACAGAAAAAACCTGCAGAAGATTTGCGACAACCAGCTCTAGTTCTGTTAGTAAATAAGACGATTAGATTAACTTAAGTTAAAAGTAGTAAGAATAACTAGAATAATGTTTAGTAGCAGCAATAATTAGCACATACACTTACAATAATTAGAAATACAAAATAATTAGCAAAACAGTATTTAAAATGCAACTAAAATCAATCCTTGCACATTTTTAAACATTATGTATTAAAAATAATATGGCGGCAAATAAATGATGGTTTACAGTATTTCCGGTGGTTTCCGGAACGGCTCGACAGACTACGCCATGGTTTTACTGTTTTTTACTGCTGTACAGTTCCGGAATAATAACCGACGCTATATTGTGATTTTACCGAAATCTAGATCTGTGTATTTTTTATTTTAATATTTTGTGTGTTAGCCACTGTTAGCTGTTACTCTATTATACTCTGTAAGTAAAGTGTTAGTAAAATTGTTAGAATTTCAATTTAGATCTAGAATCTAGTTCTAGAATCTAGATCTAGAGATCTAGAATCTATTCTACACTTACACTTATTACACTACACTAATCTACACAACAGTGTGAGTAAACTAGTTGTCAGTTAGTAACTGTGACAGTAGTCTGACTCAGTAGTAGTAGACTTAGTAATAAGTCATAGTAGATCTCGTTTCTAGAGATCTACTAGACTCTAGTAGTAGTAAGTAGTAAATCTAGTAGAAGAGTAGAGCTTACTGCTAGCTCAATCTAGAATTCTAGAACTAGATTACAGTAAAAAAAAAAAAAAAAACTCCATTTTAGTGTATTTTATTTCCTGCTTCTTATTCACCTCCAGTTGAGTGTTGTGTAAAAATGTGTCAATTTAATACATAAATTATAAATGCAGGTCTCTTTTAGAGATAGATCTAGCTTATCTAGATTTAGTAAATAATTTAATCTAATGTGTAGCGAACTGTAATATTTTACTCAACTGCAGTGACGAAAGTGAAAGATATTAATATTATTATTATTACTTCATTAGATACTATACCCTATATTAAATATTAATAGATCTAGTATAGTTAAGTATACTTAGTATAGGCCTAATTCCTAAGTATTATTTAGTGTAAGTCGGCGTGGTCGAGCCGGTAAAGCTCATGGTTGCTAAACCGAAAAGTCTCGAGTTCGAACCCTCGGGCAGATGAGGCTCGTTAGCTGGGGACAGCCACTCTTCTAGGAGAGACAACTCCAAAATTAAACAACTGCTGCCTTGTAGTTTGTTCTTGGTTGAACAAAGGCTATGGAAGCAAATCCAAAAAGAAAAGCAGGCTGAAATCGGAGTCAATGGCCTCAATGGCGCATAACCAGTTGACACGTACCGCTTAATTGTGTTGGAGGCATGGTCGAGTCGGCAAAAAGCTCATGGTTGATAAATTCGAACAAAGTCTCGAGTTCAAACCCACTGGCAGATAAATCTCGATCCCCTTCAACACTAATAATTAAGAACGAAGAAGAAGAAAGAAGAAGTGTAAGTTAAGTGAAGTATTAAAGATTTTGATCATTTTAGTATTAATAGTAGCTAGATCGCCGGATCTTTTTGATTTCTCTTTAACTTACTTTAACTCCAAACAAAATTTTATCAATAATTTAATATTGTCAGATCACTTCCAATAAATAATAGATAAATTACAAGATCTATTATATATTTTAATCATCGAATCAATGCATATTCTAGATCTAGATTCTAAATGATAATGATGACAGATCTAACTAAAAAAAAATTTAAAATTTTAGGCTTGATCTTGAATTTACTGGATGCCAACAAAAGCTAGGCATATGTGGTCTTCCTGGTAATTATTTGTCTTCATAAGATTTTATTTTGTATTTGTAATACTAATTATTATTTTTTAACCTAATTATTGAAATTCTTAATGATATATGCCCTATATAATATATATATATATTTATTTACTATTGTTTGATATCCAAATGTTGTCAGATATATATTTCAGTGTCAATTTTTTTAACTAATCATTTGTGATGGCCACATTAATATTTTCTTTCTAATGTACTGATGGGATAATAGAAATTTATCTTTGTAATATGATGAAAGATTGTGCCATTAATTATAAAAGCACAATAGTTCCCAGCTGGGTACATGTAAGCCTTTTAAGGAGAATAAAAGTAGATGAAAATACTGCGGAAAGCATGTACATACCTTCAAGTATTGTCATCTAAAAGTTTTGTCTCTCGTGATGTCATCGTCCTAAGGTTCAAGTCAACTTTCTTAAAATCTCAGTGTTTTCAAACTTTTCTTTGTACAGGGTGCCGATTTAAAAACAGATGGAGGAATTTAACACATGACATTCGTAAGTTTGTGAAAATAATTTAATAAACTGATTGTCACTTCTCTTTAGCAAGTGGCATTCATTGAAACTGAAAAATAATGCTCTTTGTCATAAATTGAGTTTAATCTAGTCAAAGTTTCTTTTTCTAACTAATTTATTTTAATAATAAAAGATTTTTATATTGTGAGTTTTGTTGTTAATTTTTTCTTTATTATCTGAACCAGAATGCTTGAAACAGGATGGAATCCAGGACATATTTTGCCTTTGTACTAAAGGGGAATTTTATAAGTATCGTACTCAGGATATTCTAGACAAAGTAAGAATGTCTATAAACTTTATAAAGATTATGTACTTTTCATCTAGTAGTGCTTTATATTGTTCACATCCGCAACATTTAATACAGCATTTATCTAATCTTACCCACCTCATAAGATGCTGTTTATGAAGAAAGTAGGTGCCCAAGTAAAACAAAATTTAGTTAGAAAACCTTGCCATTTCTTATTATTGCAAGATATATATATATATATATTATTTTAAAAAGCATGAAAGATGCAGTTACATTTTTTTTATACCTAAATTCTTGTACTCTTATTTATTGATATTGCTTTTTACCTGACATCAAAAGCAAATGTTACTAATTTAACATTTTAATTTTGTGAAATAATTGGCCAGGTTATTGGGTTTTTTCAACAGTATTCAGATGCTGGCTTTATTGTGCATCACTACCCAATAGAAGATGGACAAGTTCCAGTGTTTACAGATCTGATGAAAATTGTTGAAGATATGCGCATTTGTGTAATCTCTGGCAGGAAAACTATTATTCAGTACTGAATTTTCTTCTTTTTATTTGAATATTTTATATTTATTCATGATTTTTTTTTTTGAAATCAAATAAGTTATTTTGCCCTAAAATTAATGAAAGAATTTTACTTCTTATCAGTTGCTTTGGAGGGCTAGGTCGTTCATGTGTTGGTAAGTGGTGCCTCTTCTTTATTAGGTATGAATATAAAATTAGTGCAGTATTGACATTTATTACCCCACACCCATCAGCATTTTTTTTTATTGTTCACACACAAAAATTCCAATTCAGTACTAGTATCAAGACTTTCGTTATAGAAAAAAATAATGCATATGATGAAATCTGATTTCAGTGGCTGCTTGTCTTATGATGGTACTAGATGAGAATCTAAGCTACGAAGAAGCATCACAAAAACTAAAGGCTTTAAGAGGAAATGGTGCTATTCAATCTGTCAAGGTATACAGAAAATGAATTACTTAAGAGGTATATTTTATACTTAAATGAAATTCACAATCTTATAAGTTTTTTTTTTTTATTTTAAAGCAATACAACCTGGTAACAGACTTCCGTGACCTGCTCACCAAATTCAGACAAGACAGTACATCCAATGACAGTCGTTCTCTTTCAAGATAAGCCAGTTGCACCGATAAGGTTGGGTTGTTAAAAATTTGCTGATGTAATTTATACCAATAAATTCAATCAAAACAAAATGTATAGTCATTTCTTTAATTTAAATAATTACATTGTAATTGTAAAAGAAATGTATCAATCAGTTTTTTTGTTTTTTTAAATTTGTAAACTATTATGCCACAGCCATATTTGCACAAAAAATTGAGTTGGTTCCAATTGTAATGCCAAAATAAAAACTTCACATCCCTCACATCAAATGAACCAGGGTAAACATGTATTGAAAAAATTCATTTCTTAATTTCAGCCAGATTTACTTATGCAAACATTTTATATTAAATGCCAACATCACTAGTTTTTAAAGAAAACTTTTAATAGCAATACAGCTACTCTTCCTACATTGTTTGTTATAAAATATAAATAATAAAAACAAAGAATTTTAAATTATAAGATTAATACATATTTCATAACTAAAAAAATTCCATTAACTTCAAAGATACTATATTTACTTGATTACAAATAAAATCTTCTTTAAAAATTAATAAAACAACCAATGCAACAACTCTTTCTTGAAGGTTGGTCATTAATAGTTGTAAATGTTAAGGTGTATTAAATGTAGCAAAAAAATAAAGGTTTATAAAACATTTTCATAACCCTCTTAAAATAGGTTAAAACATCCTCAGAGATTTAACCACTATTACATCGCTCAAATAGTTTGTTCAAATTAAACTATTGAATGAATAAGCTGTGCACATACTTTAATTATACATGTTGGAAGTTAGTAGGTGGTACTGAGACCTTTTACAAAATATGGGCTCATGTTTAGTTTATTATAAAGCATATACACAAAGAAAGGTAATGGCATTAATTATTTTCATAAATAATCATGTCTAAAAAAACAACTGTTAGCATGGTTTTAAAATTAAAGATAGGCTGAGAAATTTTTATTAAATGCAGGTAACATTTTCAAATGGTTTTATTCATTTCTGTCACCAATGGTTTGAACTACAAAGTTTGACTCTTAAACTTTAAAATTTCGTTTTTAAAGTAGCTAACAAAAAATTACTAACATGTTAGTAAAAATGTAACTAAAATAACATGGTTTTAATAAAACAATTTAACAGCATAATTTCAATGACTAGGTATTATTGTTACTTCATCTCTGCGCTGGAATTTCTGTTTTCTGGATGACTGTTTATCTGGAAATTTACGTTTGACTGAGCCATTTCTGTCATCACCTTGTGTACTGGACGGGCAGGAGTGGGTGTGGGGGTTCATGATGTGCACACACTGGAGTTCATCATCCAACATGCATTTGAACCTGCAAGCAGTTCAAACTTCATTGAACAAACTGTCTTGAGATTTTACTCAGAATTATTGTATACAGAAAAGTTATCTATGTAGAGTTATACAATAATAAAGCCTACAAAAATATCGTTTGAAATGTAAGAGAAATCAGTAACTGGACCAACAGATCACATATCATACATTACCAAAAAATACATTATTCTCGTTATATTTTTTTGGCTGATGCTAACCTGCAGTCCGGCCTCCTACATCTCCAGTGAGACAACTCGTTTGTTCTCCAGCTCAACTCCAACTGATCCCCATCAATAACTAAAGAGCCATTCTGAGTGTCAAAATGGTATTCATAAACTTTGTTGGTCTGGTTTGCGACACCAGTCACTAAATTCCTCAACTAGAAGTATAGATATTATAAAGTTAGTGCTTAAATAAAATCATACAAATAGGCAGTGATGTAACATGAAGATAATAAATGCATGTATATTATGAAACACAACTAGAATTAGTAGAATATTATTAGACAGTTGTTGAGAGGGAGACCACTGGATTGCTAACTCATCAATAGCTAAAAGCCAACAAATTTCTATGGGAATCTGGCTCTAGTTGAGCAAAGTTGCTGGCCACACAAATCCTTTATAAGCTATGTTCAAAGAAACAGAAATACTACATCTGCCCCAAAGGCTATTAGTATTAGGTGGGAAAAGATACTCTTCATCTTACTCAGGTACAAAATTACTTGCAGCTTCCATTTAGGTAAGAAATTCAATAAGCAACCTCTGCCAAAGTGACTATACCTGAATAGAGCTGTCATCTGCTCCCATGGCTGATCTAGAATTCTGCATGGCTAATGCCACATCCTGGAAGCGAGGAAGCCCACTTAAAATCTCCTCAGAGTCAAGTACTTCTCTGAGATTTTTCATGTACTCCCAATACACATTGTTCAGTGGCTCACCAAGATTTTCTGCAGCTTTTCTTTGGAGCATTTTTACAACCTGATTGTAACAAACAGTAAGATAGTTTCTTTAAAATTTTACATTTTTCCTAAGATACAAAGGAATTATATAAGTTTCTATACAATAGGAAAAATATTTTAGAATTGAACACTAATCAAGCAATATGGTTGGCAGTAGCAGTACTTTTTGAAGAGGCTTTTAAATAAACTTTTCTTCTAATAAAATATTTTTACATCACAATTTGATTAAAAAATAAGTTGGGAAACATCCAACTTAAAAAAAAACTAATGATAAAATTAAATGAAGTAATACAGCAAGTAAATATCCAACCTGAGAACAAAATGCTGACTGTGAACCAGGCGGCTCGTGGTTGTGGTTGCCAGATATCTGAACAATCTGCGACGTCCCAGCATTGAGAACACACTGAAACCTGCAGCCTGGCACCCGACACTGCCAGTAAACATTGCCCTGTTGGGTGGTGGCTGGAAGCAACGGGTAACCATGGAGGGTGAAAACATTTTCACTGTTGGGGGACAGGGACAAGCTCTGGGGGAGGGGTAAGGAAGCGGACAGCGGCGCCGCTTTTTGCTGCATGGGCTGTAGAGGCTGGGTAGTTTGTAGACACGCCTGGCTGGTTAAATACGAAGCTGGTTTACAGGAAACTGTGAAGGTGTTATTGTAGGCTTCATGCTGGTTGCCAGAGTTGAAAACAGACTGATGCGAGCTACCCGCGGCTGAGGGGTTGTTTGTAAACGTGCTTCCAATAATGGAGACAGACGGTGGCTGGTAGAGTAAGCCGGAGTTGTTGACTGATAAAGGGTCGGGTAAAATATCAGACCCTGGTTCGTACATCAAGCTGATCTGTTGCTGCTGCTGGTGGTCATTAACGTACAAAGCAACTCTGTCAGATACATCGTAGGAGTGGTCATGCAGGAAATCTGCGTCAAACTGACCCCCACTGCTGTTGCCCAGGCTGCTGTTGCTGTCTGAGGATTTTTGTGTCTTTTTGGTTTTAGTTCGCCGCAAGATTTTGGGTGTGTGCAGCTTTTGTTTGGGTGGTGGCGGGGGGTTGGTTCTGGTCTTAGTGATCAGCTGATACACCTGCGAGAGGTTGGGGATGAACTTTACCAGCGATTTGTTATTACATAATTTATTAACGATTCTTTTTCTTTCTTGTTCGTAAATAGTTTTAGGAAGCAAGTTCATGTCCATCAGAGCTCTTCGTTTAACACAGTGTATCAGAGCTTGAGAGATTGTGTGTTTGATTGCTGACTTGTGGGTGTGGTCCCACTGGCCCCTTGTAATGGCGTTGGTCTCATTGTCTATAACACAGCGAAAAGGGCAGCCATCTTTAGAACAGGCCCACCCTGAACTGGTCTCAGAGGTACTTCTCCGAGTCAAAATGTGACCATCTAAGAGACGTGTGTCTGGGCTCTGGTCTAGCCAAGAAGGCAAATGCATATTCAACATGGCGAATCCTTCTTCAATAACTGGATCATCTGGTGGATCTTCTATAAATGCATTATCTAGCAAACCTTCGTCATCCTGATAGTGTAAAAGAAATTATTTTATTTTACTAAAAAACATTTGTCAAATTAATTAAAAGGCAAAAAAACAAACTGGATAATGTAAGTAGCAGCATAAAGCAAAATTAAAAAATCTTTGCTAGTTAAATAAACCTAATTCTTACCTTTTCTTCATCTGATTCATCAGACAAGTAGTCTGGGCTGTCATCTTTGGATGTACCTGCCCGAGTGGACCTGTTCCTAAACTTGTACAGTGTTGACTTTAAACTATCATAGCTCGGAAGTTTCTTCATCAGGTCCTCATCTTTTTCATCACTTTTAAGATGCTCAACTTCCTCATCATATATTATCTTCGGTGAAAGATCACTTTCTTGGTGAACTCTGGAAAGTTAATTTGACCATTGAATCCGTAGGTTCTATATCTTTTTACTTTTGGCCTTACGAGGTCATTATATCTGTACAGGTATGGCAGTATATATAATTTCGTTTTTAATTTTATTGGATTCTTCAAAAAAGACCTGATGTTGAATACTCAGTCAGTGGAATTTAATATTTAAATCAAGGATGAAGCTGTTAACGTTTTAATTATTGTAATATTGTAACTTACCTTTTCTTAACTTTTCGAACAAAAGTTCGAATGATAGGGCTGTATCTGTTGACTGAATGATTATGTTCTCCACTTATTCTAAGCAATCTTTTACTTTTACTGTCGTAACTGCATCTGAAGTTACAGTCATTGTTCAAACACCTCCAATAGGTGACAAAGTCACGGGTGTAGCTGATGCGCAAAACACAGCCGTTGACGACAAGCGCGCGCCCCCCTCTTGTGGTCGTAACAAATGTCAGGGAGTATGTACTGGGGTCTGGCATGGTGATCACTTGGATCTCGATATTTTCTTCAGGAATCTCAGACTTCACACAAGCCTAGATGTAATGAACATTACTATGATATTCTGCTATGAAGATTAAGATCCAAAACTCATGTTTTAAATATTATGCTATAAAACACTTAGGTACAGTTTAAATATTAACATTAATAACTATACTTAAAAATATTGATGGGTATCTGAATCACGCCAGGGAGAGTAAAGGTAGCATGGCATAATACTGACCACATTAACCCTTTATTTCCAGTGTTCACAGAAACAGATCAACTCTACTTAATCTGCCCTATCAGGTCCTAAAGGATAACTTTACTTTTAAATAATATATGAAATTATAACTTATGCTGTAAAAAAATTCCAAACAAAAAACGAGTGAATTACCTGTCCTTTTACAGATGTCCCATTGTAGTTATCAATAATATCATGGTTGTCATACAAGCTGGGAGCAGCAATTTCCATGGCATTACTGGATGAACTTGATGAATAAACTTTATCATCGTCGTCATGGTCCATTGGGTCATTGTCCTCTAAACTTAATTGCTTTAAAATAAATAATTTGTCAGTTGTTGTTTTTTTGTTTTTTATAACAGGAAAACAAATGTATAAATATTCAACATCTTATTTAGATAGTAAATAGTGTGAAGGGAATTTATGTATAACTGCCTGTGCTTCCAAACTTCACAGTGTTACTATGTGCTAATATTAATGTTTATAATGAAGATATAAAAAAACAACAAAACAAAAACTGAACGAAGTCAAATCAGTCTGGTTTTGATAAAGACCACTTACTGTAATATCTTTAGGTGAAATATCCTGAGGCTGCTCAAAGTTGTTGTGTAACAAAGTCAAGCATGTAGAATTGGCAAAGTATGTGCTGCCCAGTCTGTAATTATTGTTGCCACGGTTGCCAGAAGTTACTTCAGGGTTTAAACCTTGCTCTTCCACCATAGCTCTCCTAACAAAGAAAGGGGAAAACAAACAATAAGTATTTTTAAAAATAAACAAGCTATTTTGAATGAGCAATATTTTTTTTTCAAGGTATAGCCTATCATTTTTAGGACTTAACTTTCAAATATTTTGTCAAAAATTTTATAAGTTTTCACTAAAAGGAAATATTTACATAGGCCTATACAAAATGTTTAAATAATTAATTTATTCAGATCACTGCAGGAAAATAAAACAAGATACAGCTTGTCTCATTAAACTTTGTAATTCAATCAACAAACAATTTCGACTGTGACATACTTGTGTTTTTGGTTATAAAGTGAAGTTCGAACACTTGAATAGGGCGGGATGAATTTCATCAGTTGCTCGGCATTAGCTGAAGTGCAAATCCTAGCAAGTTCTTGATCGTATGCTTTTTTAGGTGTGAGCGAAGGGTTCTCTGCCACCCGAGCTTTCAAAAGGAAGCAAAATTCTCGTGATCGCAGTTTATTAATATTTGTGACGTGGGTGTGCTTGCCTGAAACCTAAAAATACAAAAAAGTTAGATAATTTTAAAAGATTATGCAATTAATAAATTTAACAATTAACTTCTCTCAATAAAACTATATTTGTATTATTCTCAAGCTGCTAATGATATGCCACATAGAATTATTATCATACACGTGAATAAGAATAATACAACTGGTGATTATTTTTTTCAATTTGTATCTGTTAAAAATACCTTAATAAGATCTTTTATATTTTCATTATAGACACAACGGAACATGCATGGTTCAACAGTACACTTCCAATAATAGCGTCCACCTGCTTTTAAATTGTTGAGACGGAATGTGAAGTCATTCACTACCAGAATTCTTTTACCTAGGTGAGTATAAAATAATGTCAATTCTCAAAAATGAAGAAAAGAAGAGTAAATAAACTCTATGTTTAGATAGTTTTCAAAGAATGATGTATTTTTTAAAATTAATGACAGTGATATGCTTAACATAAGAAAGAATTACAAACCCATTTTGGAAGGAATAAAATAAAAACTGCAGTCTGGAAAATTTTTTGATTGGATGGCTGTAGACTTGGGAGAGAGCAGGGAAAGTGTAGGCCCTATCTCCTCTTCCTGACAAGATATTGTTGGTTCTTCAAGGAATTTTTTCTCTGTCTCTGTAATCTGTCGCTTTATGGGCTATACAAGTAAGAATTTTACATCTTTAAAAAGTCATGTTTCTAAACTGCAGTTACATAAAATTAATTAAATAATTCTAAATGATTAGTATAGATTTACAATTTAAGTTTAAATAGTAAATAGTATCTTAAAGATGTGGTGTTACAATATGGTTAAGCTAATGAGCAGAATCTGGCAAAAGGAACAGAAAACATTACAGGATATAATTGATGTTGGACAGCAAAAGTTTATTTACATAACAGCAGTTTGTACTTTGGAATTTCAAAATAGTTTTTCTGAAATTGTAGTTTACGTACTGATCCAGGGACAACCTTAAACCAAGTATCATCGTTATACTTCTAAATTAGCTAAAACTGTGATAAGACTGTGACGTAGATGTCTATATGAAAGTGTAGGCATGGATAGTGTGTGTGAGAGTGGCCTCCCCTTGGAAGTGGTGTGCTAGCGTGAAAAACAAGTGTGTGAACAAGGGAGCGTGTAAGGAGGGTGGGTAGCGTCAACACAGTGTATCTAGTCGTCAGTTTTTTCTTCATGTCAATGTTTCTCTTGTAGTTGGTGAAAATTATACTTCAATGTTGCAAATTCACTTTGTGGATTGTGTTCTTTATTAGTGTTACACCTGGCCCCAAACGAGCCAAAAATAATTAGAAAGCCGAGTGTAACATACAAACTTACTTCAGACATTTCATCCTCATCTTCTGCAGTTTTTCGAACCTTGTAAACATGGTGCTTAACTTTGGAAAATGGGGGTATTTTCCAGGACACTCCTATTCCAGTAAACTTTAAAAAAACAAATTGAATACAAAATTTTATTGCGGTATTCTAACTTAAAAAATAAAAAAAACTTCTCACATGGTTAAATAGCAAATAAGCTTTCTCTAGGTATATCTAATGATAACTACACAGAAATAAATCCAGATTATTAGGTACCAATTATTTCAAGTAGTCTGGTTTAACAAAACAAATTTCATAGATTCATAGAACCAGTATTGAACAGAGATTTCAACAGTAAACAAGAATTATAACAGAAATAATTTAATAAGATGAGAGAGGCTATATATGACCTTTCATGACAGAACAAGTTGTTTTGCATCCTCTATTTCTGCTGAGCTTGAGACAAATATATGAGCGGGATTTTGGGATTTGATTTTTGGAAGTTAGCTGTGTTTAATTGATTAGAAGTGTAACAATCATTACTCAGGGACTATTGGTCTAATTTCTTAACAGTTTTGCCAGTGAAATTACTACTGACGGCTCTTTTTGGTCAACTATTAACTTAAAAATAAAATCAAAATCAGCCATGGGTGATAGGCGTTTCAGAAAAAAATGGTGAAACAAATGAGATTATCATAAAAGAGATCTACCTCTTGTTGTACCTTCTGAACCTCCTGATCATAGATCTCTTTGGCTGGAATATAAGGATGCTCAGTCATCTGACTCTTGATGTTGGAGATGAACTGCCTTTTCATCATTTGATTGGAATCAGGTGGATGGTTGTGAAAACCAGTTGTTTTAGTTACTTTCTCAACTTTTGGATCATACACAGCTCTGTTCAAAGGGATATTTTCAACTGTATATTGGCCATTTTAATTAATCATTATTTATAAAAGGAATCCTTTTAGATGGAGAAAGGACAGATCACATCTATTGTTGCATGCCTTTAATCTAAGTTATACTAATAAGTATTAGACTGGAATCCCCAGGGGAAGAGGAAAATAGACCGGCAAAGGAAATCCCGGAGGAGGGCTGTAGAAGATGTGGCAAGGGCTGCTGGGCTTACATGGGCGCAATAACAAAAGAGAACTTTCAAAACCAAGTGGTGCAGCCCTTTGTAAGTGAAGTATTTTAATAAAAATAATACAGTCAGGTAATCAAACCCTTAGTGTTCAGCCTTTGCATTTACCCTCCTTAAACTTAAAGTTATAGTTAATTAGATATGTTCATTTTTGACATCCATACATAACATTAGAAATATATTTTATATATAGTAATAAAGATGGAAAAGGTAAAAAATTTATTGTGTTGATAACATAAAAGGATCTTTAAATAGAACTGTATAACTAGTTTTTACCAACAAATAATGATCTTAAATGTAAAGTTAAGGTAGTTTTAAAAACTGAAATTCTCTCAGTTTCCAAAAGCTCATTTTGTCCTCACTGTTTCCTCACCCACATCCCTTATCGACTAAAGACAAGAGACTAATAATTTACCTATAAGAACAGCCTTTCTTCTGACACCTCCAGTAAGATTTCCCTGAAGCATGGATTGTGTTTTGGTGCAGGGCGCAGCCATCAATTACCATTAAATTAGATCCTCTATTAGAAGGAATAAAATGAAAATTGACATCCTCACTGGGTTGTTTGCTGATCAGTGCAGATCTCCAATTATTGTCTGTCTCGTCCTCTTCATCATCCTCACCCTGGTAAGAAAAGAATAAAATCAGAAAGGACTTTATTTCACTGATGTTAAGAATAAGCCAATCTATATAAATAATAAAACTGAATGCATTTTTAAAAAAGATAAAATAAAGGTGAAAAAAAAAAAGAGAACATGACTGTACAAAGTTGTAATCCAATCAACAAATAGTAGGAGAAATCAAGAAAATACCACTAATAAACAACACCATGCACAGAGGAAAAACTGATAAAAAGGAACATGTAGGTGTTTTATAACATGCATGTTATGTCTGATGTGCACATTAAAATGTATGCATGTTCAGAAATTTGATTTCAAATTCATCTTGCACCATATGTGTTTGAATAGCAGACGAGTTGCTTTAACTTGAGTTTAAATAAGTTACTTTGTTACAAAAGCTATACAAGTGAGGATGATGCATTAAGCTCCATTAAAACATTCACAAACTTTCAATACAAATTGCGTCTCAATATCAAAATAATAACAGAACACATTTACTATGTAATTATATTTAATTCAAAATCTGGATTAAATTTATTTTTTATAAGACATAAATAGTATCAAATCATTAAATAAAAATTTAAAAGCACATCTGGTTAAGTATAACCTTAGTGTATATAAACTGCTTTGCTTCTCACAACCATGTAAAAATATATCAAGTAAATACAAGCATGGAATCTTGGAATGCTTAAGTACAAGGCAAAAATTTCTTTAAGGAAATTTAATACACAAAATAATGAAATAACATGGGTATCAACAAAAGGGTAGGCGTTTTTTTTAAAAACCAACATTCACTAATTTTTTAATTCAAAAAATAGAATTCATTTTGAATAGAGCCAAGAGCTGCTCTATGCAGCAAGTTATAACACTAGTTTCTGTAACTCAATTGTTTCCTAAAATTATTGCTGTTGTGCAGCTTACATAATTTTCATATGAATTTCAAATACTTGCTATGTTAATCAAGAGTGAAGTGGGTTTTGTTTTATGAGACCTGTATTGCATAGAGATATGTATATTTGAGTGCTTTGAACAGCAACAGACAAGAAATTTACATGTTTAAACAGCAACCTGAAAAACAATTTATATAAAATGTAAATCTTTATAACACTGTTTTTTTTTTAATATAGCATTTTTAAGGCACTCTAAATTATCACAACCACTACTTTCATCACCATGGACAGGATTTGAAATACTAGCAAAAATATAAGTAAAATCAACTTGATCCAAACTGGTAGGGAACAAATTGTGACCTGATATATCTCCTTTATAACAGATAGAAGTTCAAATTATTAAAATGCAGAATTAAAAAAATGCTACAAAAATAACCATTTACTGCAAGCAAAATAAAGAGATCAATTATTGATATGTACTTTTAAGATTAAACAACAATTACAAAAATTTGATTTGCACAATACAAAAATATTTTTAAAATAAATGTAGCTGTAATTTAGCCATGTTTGCAAAAAATAAAAAAGTATGAAGCACATCATAAAGGAAATTAAATTCAACAGTTTATCTTTTGTGCTTTTTTGTATTTTAATGCACCATATAAAATTGCAATACTCGATTTTCTATACTAGATACCAAATCAAGATGTTTAAATAACTCTTTTCTAACAACAACAGAAAAAAATTACATCAATATTAATCCACATCATAATATTAATTACATTAAAAACAATATATTTCAAGACAATGGAAGTTTAATAGGGTTCCTAAAATAATTTTTAGGAGGTTTTGATTAATATAGACAAAATGATTTTTTTAGTTATATCTTACAATGCATGTTGATAACATTTCACAAATACATTCGACAATGCTTTTGATTATTTAACAATAACATTTTATCGTTGTTTCCAATGTATAATTTTGTTTATTTAACATGCAGAGGCTTCTACTAATGTAATGAAACTTAAAAGTTTCACTATTGAACCTTAATGAAAATTGTATTGATGACAACCTACTGTTCAAATAGTAAGGAATGCTCAACCACTCCTTTCTGCTAAAAACAAAGAACACTTCTGCTGGTGGGTTAACAGAGACTTTTTCCAAGGAAAAATTTTCCCACAGTGACAAGAGTACTCAGACCTGCCATGGACAGCATCCATGTGTGTGATTAGCTCCTGAGCACTGGGGACAAAGGCACTGCACAGGCAGCACTGAATGACAAAGGGATCATTACAAATATTCTGATGCGACAGCCAGCCCAACTCATCCATGAAAGCTTTGTTGCAGATGTAACAGCGGTACGGCTGGATCATAACATGGGTGCTCGTGTGCTTCTGGAGGTGTGATTTGGTGGAGAACACGCGGCCGCACAAGTTGCATGTCAGCTCAGGCGGCGGCTCCCTCTGCACTTTCAGATCCTCATTTTTATGCTTGGTGACAATGTGAGACTTCAGGCCTGTCATGGTTTCAAATGTGCGGGAACAGATATGGCAGTGCTGACCTTCACCCTGGTGGACTGCTTTGACGTGGAGCTTCAGGCGATATTCTAGAGAATATGAGGTTCCACACTCTTTACAGCTGAACTCTGGTTTCTTGGTGGAGTGGGCCAGTCTCTCGTGGCGCTGGACATTAAAGTGACGATTGGACTTGTAGGGACAGTGAGGACATGTGAATACAGATGATGACGCTGGACGTTTTCTGTATTTGCGCCTTGGAATATTTTCCAGTGGTGATATTCCATCCCAGAGGCTGTTCTGTAAAAAGAAAAGATTGGAATATGTGAAAATATAATGTTCCCTTAAGGTGTAAAAAAAAATCTTAAAACAGTATTGCTATACTAGATGACAAGCTATGGTATCTAAACAATGGCAATCTGGTAGCCTTGAATGGAAAATTAAGCTCAAATTTTAAAATCAAAATTGTATTTTTATATTTTTGGTAGGACAATGGTGCACTATTTTTTATTTCTTCACTATCTAGGGTAAAAATGACCAGCTGTTCTGTTACTTTATAGGACCACAGCTGTATCTAACAGTACTTACCTCATCGCTATCTTTAGAATCAAAACTCAGTTCACTCTTGATAGGAGAAACAGTTTTGGCTTGTTTACCACCTCCAACTTGAAAAGATGCACTAACTTTCATGTCATCGTCCAACCACTCCTCAAAGTCACTAAGATTAGCATCTCTGTGTGGCTCATTGGACCATTCATCCTCCTAATTTCATAATGAAATCAAGCTATTAGATTTTCTTTTCAATCATCAACCTTATTATTTTCCCACACTATTACTATTCTTAGTTGCAAATATAACAACTTAAACTCTAAATCTTAATGGCCACTTGAATATAAAAGTAAATTATATGCAAATTATTAAATCAGCTATCTTACATGATATGAATAATAATTAAATACAAATCTTTCAGCAGCACATTTTTATTCAATTGTAAGTTAAAAGTTAAAATTAAATGTCAATCAAATTAGTAAAAACATAGGTAGTTATAAAATTATGTAATATTATAAAGCTAAATACTTAAAAACTATTTTTAACCGGAGGTATAATTTGCTTTTTCCAAAACAAAACAATGTACACAGATGGTTACAATAATAGAACAATGCACAAACAAATGTACCCACCTTTCAAATTCCTCTGTGGCAGATACGAAAGAAAAAATATTGGAAAATAAGTCCACTGACGAAATAATGGTACAAATTCTGAGAAGGCGAGAAAATTGCTTGACAGATTGGCAATGAAGAACTTTTAAAATTTAATAAATTGTAACATAAATTAAATATCAGTTACTATGCATGCATCAAGGGGGAAAAAAGATGCAGAGGAAAATGTACAAACTGTAAAGACTGATGAGAGATCAAGTGCTTAATCAGTAAATATAAAACAGTTTTTCTTTTAGGGATGCTTATGACTGAAGCTAAATAGTTTTTAAAAAAATAGGGATGCAAAAGAAAATAAATGTGTAGCAGCCAGAAAAACAAATGAAAGCAACAAGAGACAAAACAAATATCAAAAGGTTTGATCTACAAACAAAAAAAGCAAATTATAACCTCCAGTAAATGAGTAAAAATGAAATAATATTACTACAACAAAAAGAAAGTAATACATGCTCAAAAGTGCACAGTACACAAACCAGTGGTCATACCATTACTTACAAAAATGCTCTACGTATAAATAATTAGGATAGCAATCTTACATGGAAACAAAAGTTAAGGTATAATCTCATACCTGATAAGGAAAAATATATCAGGTGGAAAGAACCAAATTTAGTGCATGCAAAAATGTGCTTTTAAAGAACATAAAAAGTTATCTTTTATAAGCTTTGTAAAACTGTATAAACCTACAATAGCAAATTAACTAATAAAAGTTAAAGTGTTTTTATGAGAAAATAATTTGATACTGGGATTTTTTATACTGTCATTTCACATTATAGAATTGAAATAAAAACTTTTAAATATTTTAAGCAAATGTACTTGTATAGTCTCTATTGCTAATGTTTCAAACTTTATAAAGTAGAGAAAGTTTTACTCCCTTACAACAATAAACTGATTTGACTACATGATAAAATAAGTTTGCTAAGCTTCAGTCGTAAGCATGCATCTTAAAACAAACTGTTTAATCCCAATTATTCACTGAAAAAATAAACTAAGCCTATTGAGCTAAAACTACAAAACAGTTGTTAAATAATACATGAATACACAGTTAACTTTTAAGCATCTGTAAAAGGATGAAAGAAAGAAATTATTCAATTTTTTGTTTATGATGATAAATGCCATGTTTGGAAAGTTAGTGTTACAATTTACAAAAATATTTTTTTAATTATTAGAAATGAACCAATACTAAATCAGGACTATTAAAGTGTTTCTTAGATTTCTGTGGAAGTTTGCAATATAAATATAAATTTTTGTACAAAACACTTCAATACTCCCAATACATAATGAATTTAATTTGTTAATAAAGCGTGTTGGTGAGATTTCCTATGTGTGACATTTTTAAGCTAGTAATAAGTTCAATATTACACCTAGCTAAAACATGTTTATTAAGTTCAGGAAGTAATGAGGAAATTGTTATATGGAGTTGATATAGCACTATATGGCAATAATGCTACTAATGTGGAAGAGTTAACAATGACAATTACTTTACCCACTGCCTACACTTCATAATTTGCTACTGTTAGAAAAGGTTACTGAACAGTCATATTAGATTCTGTTGACGTTGTGAAATATGTATTCAGTACAATCATTTTAACTTACTGTATTGTATAGCCTAAGGGTCATCACACTCCCTTAAATAATTGTTTACTTCCTCCAGAGGCGTAGCGACCCTTCCCGGCGCCCGGGGTTAAACTTTCAAACTCTCAATTTGGCCCCCCCCCCCTCATATATTTTTTATATGTATAATGCAAAACTGCAGCTAAAATGAGCTTTTAATTTTTTTTCAACCCATTTTGGAGCCCCCTAGGGTCAGCGCCGGGGACATATGTACCCCCCGCGCCCCCCCCCCCCCCTCGCTACACCTCTGACTGCCTCCCCTCCTCATCATTACATATTGTAACAAAAAGCCACACCCACCTTAAATGTGGTCACACTTCAGCCTACAAGGTGCCTAAAGTTTAACCCCCCTCCCCCCCCCCCCCATCCCCCTAGGAGTGTGATGCCATTTATGGATGATCAACAAGCTAAAGTTATAACAAATGATATTCTAAAACCCAAGCATGGTTGTTATTTTAAAACTTCACTGGTCAACCTTGTAAAAAAAATATAATTTATCTGTTACTAATGAAAAGGCTGTAAATAGCTTAAGTATATCAGAGTAGTATTATTTTATATTTTGCAGTATACATTAATTTAATGCAGTAAGCTTTTGTTTATTAGTATTAATTGCAGGAACCTCAACACCGTTAAATTAGTTATATTAGTATTAATTAAAATAGTAAAAAAAAAAGACAAACATGCAAGTGCTTACCAATTCATCTAGATCTGAACCATTAGGAACTACAGACTTGGATGGAGTATTTTTTCTTTTGGGATTTGCCTTTGCATCTCTTGATCTTGTGGATCTACTGGGACCTGCCTGTTGTACTGTCTCAGGGATAACAGCTGAACTATCTTCTTCAGTTGCCTTGAGTGATACAGAGGACAGAACAGCATTTCTAGAATTGTGCATGGCTGTTCTAACTTTGTCGAAGCTTGGGAGACTCGGCTCTTCTTCGTTGCTATTGTTTTTCACTTTGGATTCTCTCCATCTTTCTTTTGCTTTTTCTACTTCAGCATCATATAAGGCTTTTGGCTTGACGTGGGGATTTTCTTTCACAGCTATTTTAAGGGCGTTGATAAATTTCTTGTACTCCTGACGGCTGACATCGGCATCATGATTATGGCTTCTACAAAAGCGGACTAGTTTTTTCTCCTCTGGGTCCAGCACACAACGAGCACTACAGCACGGAATGCTACACACCCAATATGAGTATCCGGAAGCTTTTTTCTGGCTAAGCCTCAGAGTTTGATTGTCGATCAACATGTATCTCACACCCTTTCCAGCAGAGATGAACTGAAAACTTGGAGGTGATGTTTCAAAGCTCGCTGAGTCTTGCTTGACCTGCTGCTTACCTTTCCTGTTGTTTGCCGGTGGTACAGTTGGTGTGGATGAAAGGTTGATCCATTCTGAATCAATCTGCCACTCCATATCAATAGATTTATCTGTAACATCTTTGCCGGTTCCGTCTACGCTTTCCATTTCATAATCCATTATAGAGTTAAATAGCTTATCACCAACTGCCTCACAAAATTACTTGACTTTAACTTATAACATCTGGGGGGGAGAATGTTAAAAACAAACTGAATGCAAAAAAACAACTATATTTTAAAATGGTAGGCAAATTAATGTGTATTTCTTTCAAATAAAGACAAGCTTTTGTTAGAGATGGTACTAAGTATCAAATATAATTTAGAATTGTAGCTACAACAAAAAATATTTTCATTCTTGATACCTTTGTATCACAACTACTAAGCCATCATACCCACATCCCTAAAAAATATTCATAGCTCATTGCATGGCCTAGTGGTAGAGCGTTACGCTGCTAAACCTTGATTCTCAAACCTCTATCCATTCATATGCAGAGGTCAAAGAAACAGATGAATTCTACTTCACTTGCCCCATGAAACATGAGGTTTGAAAAGGGAACTTACTACTTAACATAGCTTAAACTCAAAAACTTCTAAATAAATTATTTGATAGGTGAAATACAAGTGACAGATTTAACTGATGAATTTTAAAAATAGGTAATTATCTGTCCAATAAACAGGATGCTTAGCCACAGGAATGTCAGGGTTTTCAGAAATATTGATGTAAAATCTAAAAATTGTCAACAAAGGTTTTGGAAAAATTAGCTTCCATCACAATTTCTGTAGAAAGTATATTTAAATGGGGAAAAACAGGATTTCCAAAAACATTGGCAATTCCCTATTTTTGGTCTAGTTTAATCCACATATCTCAAGGTTGGATCCTGGCCATGTGTCAGTAGGTTGTCCTAGAGTCCACCCAGTTCAGTTGAATACCTGGCTTGTGTTAGGGAACGGGAAAGTAAAGGCAGCTGGGCAAAGTGCTGACCACACTATCCCTTCAGATTTCAAAGGTCACAGAAACAGGTGAACTCTACTTCACCTGCCCCACATTCTTAAGCGTACTAACTTTTTCAAAGTGACTACTCAGAAAAAGATTTTTCTGCAGAAAATACGAAACTCAATAGTTATGGGTATGCGCAGTAACCTTAATAACTGAGATAGGGTTATGAATAGGGCTCTGTGGATTGTTTGTAAACACACGCATGCGCTGTACCATCAAAAAAATTGCCGCAAATGAAGGTGGTAGTTTCTCTCCATTGCGCGTGCGTATCTTTTTCCCGCTAGAATCAACCTAACTTTTTTTATATCACTAATTTTATCAGTAATAAAATTTCATTTTCATACATAATTGGTATGGTTCAAACTGTAAGCTATATTACTTTTATAACTGCCATGCTAAAAACTGATTACAGTACCATTGTATTAACAATCAGCACACAGTCTACCGGTACAAATCTAAAGGGCCCCCAGGACCGGTGCAGCACTTACACTAGGCCTATTAATGATCTGATATTTATAAAAATATTGTCGCACGAATTGCCATCAAGCTGAGGATGATCAACAGGCTCTGATGTGGCGAGGGGGGTGAATGCACAACGAAAATTATTTTGCAAGGATTGGGGGACCCTTTTAAAATTTTCCAACCCCTTGAATACAGCCAGTCCACCCCTCGGCCTAATTAAATATATATTAGTCCTATATATCAAATAGATTATCAGCTGTAGGCCTACTTACCTACTACTTACTCAGAGGCATAGCAACCCTTCCTGGCGCCCAGGGACAAACTTTTCGATTTGCACACCCCCACCTCATGATTTTGATTTGCACCCCCCTCAAACTTTCGATTTGCACCCCCCCCCCTCAACCTTTCAATTTATTTTTCCAAACCATTTTGGCACCCCCTAAGGCCTAAGGTCGGCGCCCGGGGACATATGTCCCCCCCCCCTCGCTACGCTACTGTACTTACTATTTATAAGTAGAAGTCTACAATTACAATCATCAATCATTCAATGTCATAATGTATGTGCATGTGGGTGAAGCTAGCTAGATTTACTAGGCTCTATATTCTAAATTAAATTATTAAATCTAGATTCTAGATCTAAAATCTAGGCCTACATCATTTTTTTTAATTGGACCTATAGAAATAGATTCTAGTTCTACATCTAAGGCCTAAACGTTGTTAGGGCAGCCCCAAAAAAAAGTAATAAGATTATTTTTTTATAAAAAAAATCTAACACTTGAAAAGAGATTTCTCTTCTTAAAATTCTAATCTAGATCTAGACTGATTAGGGGCCTAGGCATTTAATTTTATATTCTCATCCTTACAATAACATAAAGGATCCATCTAGATTAGATATAGAAATCTAGTCAAGACCTAAATTAATTGTCAATATAATTCTTTAATTCAATTGCAATTGACTTATGACGGAGTGTACCATCGGCGAGACAGGTCTTTTTGTCGGCGAACTTGTTGAGCCGAAGCTAAAGCTAGGGCTAAGCTATTTTTAGCAGCTGCAAATAAAGTGTCAGTTGTGTCGACGTTATTGCTATTTTCTGCTATTGCCAGCTTTAGATTTATGTATTAATTTTAAAAAATGAAAAATATGCTTTAAAAGTAAAATGAAAATAACATACAACTTGATATAAATTTAGATCCAGTTGTTTAAATCTTAAATTAACGCTCGCAGCTGGGCGATGACGACTCGAAGGCGACACAACTTTGTCCTGGACATTTTGTACGGAAATGTCTATTCCAGAATGGCAGCAAGATTATTTTATCTTAAAATCATTTACCAATTTAAAATAAAACTAAATTTCTGTAATTAAGTGTTTAATAGTTGAAATAATATGTAAAATGTGCCATTTTCCAGCGTACGAATACCTTTTAAGAATCAAAATGATACTTTAATATGTTTTGCTTCAGAAATAGACATTCAGTATGCCCTCAACTTTTTCAAAATGGCGAAACTGGGATCTTGCGGCGGGTTGAATGTACGCAAGGCCTATTGCAATTTGCACTCCACCGCGTTTGCGCAGGTCGAACTCACACACTGTGGCAAAATTCGCCACACCCCAGGCCTAACTCATTTCACAACTGGACTTTTAAAAGTATTTGCTAAGTTAAGAAGATCTAGATCTATTTCATATCCCAAAATGTTATTTATAAATAACGAGGTTTGCGTTCATTTACGTATTTGTTGGACTATCACGCAGCTAGTGCCAAGAAATAGATAAAATCTAAACCCCAGAGTAGAATTACAAGATGCATGTGGGGGAAGTCGCCTTTAAATGACATCAGGTTATTTTTGCTGATTTGAACTCTCACACAAAGTCCATGTCACTTGAATGACGCCACAAGGTCCACACGCCTCTAAAAAACAAAAGAATACGTTCGTGCACATAGCTAGACCATACACGTTCGAAGGGGATGTTTTTGTTTTATTTTGATATTTAGTGGGGGGAGGGGGGTATAGGCTACACCAATGTTAATTTTAGACACTTAGACCATTTTCAAGGCAGAGGCGTCTTTTATTAGAATATTAAAAATTAAACAAGTCAACAACAAGTATTTAAAATTCTCCAATTACAGGATATAGCAAACTTGAAGCTGTCAAAAACTATATTTGCATGAACAAGTTTATTAGGCCTAAAGATTTTTTTATTACCTTATACTTCATGACGCGTTCACGCGTCGTCAAGACCAATAATGCTTATTAGTCTTCTCGACGTCTTGCGTAGCAGAGAAACTATACTAAAGTAGTCTAGTAAAGTTATCCTTTCGAGCTCGTGGTGCTTAGAGTACAGTTAACCTGTTTTTGACCGTGCATATTTTACTTTCCCTAAGGTGAATCAGGTAGGGCCCAGTATAGATCAGAACTCGGACATCTCAGTGACGTCACAGACTCGAGACTTTCGGGTACAAGTCGTACGCTCTACCCTCCGACCACGGCGTTCCTTTAGCGAACAATGACGCGGCGCATTAGTGATGAAATGCTTATATTATAATTATAATCTTAACCCACTAATCTTTCCATCTGTTGTTTACGTTTTTTTCGCTCGTCTTGTTTATTTAAGATGGGCAGCCAACCAAAGCCTACTTAATTTTAATCAGCCTCTTACTGTCCTTAGATTTTCTCTCCAGCTGAATCCAAATGTAACCTTTGTCATATCAACCCCAAGTGTTATTTACTTATGCTGTTTGGTAGAGGCGCAACCAGTGTTTCTTCCAGACTTTTTTATCCGGGGGGGGGGGGTACGTTGACGAAAAAGCGCTCCCCTCCCCCTCTCTCCTGTTTGGAAGGATCGGGGGCTCTTTCTACCAGCCTTTATCCCTTAACGTACTTTTTAAAAATTACGTTTGTGTGTGTGTGTGTGTGTGTGTAAACAACGGTTAAAGAAGTCCGTAAACACCAAATAGCAGTCTATCTATAGGGCTGGTAAGTAGATCACCAACCAGTTCTGTGGCTCATGTAGGTTTTATTGAGCCGTAGAACTGGTTGGTGACCTACTTACCAGCCCTATTTTCTTAAATTCGACAGAGTACACTTCCGTAATGCAGCTCAGAAAAAGCTTTTTTATTTTTTCTCTACCCTATTTGCTCCCTCTCACCAGAGTTTCTTCCAGGCATCTCTTCGGGGGGGGCTAAGCCCCCCCGAAAATTTTTTACCGCCCCCCCGAACGAAATAAAATTTATATAATTTATATAGAAAATATATACTTTTAACAGTGTCCGCCCCCCCGAAGAAAGTTTACCGCCCCCCCGAAGATTTCAAGTGCCCCCCCGGAGAAAAAAGTCTGGAAGAAACACTGCCTCTCACCCCCCCCCCCCCCCTCCCATGTCGGCAGCCGGAGCTACCGCTCCACCCACCCACCCCTCGTATTGGGAATACAAGCTCGATGGCAGAATTGTGACGAATGTTAACTGTGAGATAGAGTTTCTTTCATACATTTTTCTCCTGGAATGGGCGCTAGAAACTTCCGGGGAAAGGGGGGATAGGTAAAATTAATACAAGTCTATAGACTCTAGGCATTTTCTACTTAAATTAATATGTTTCTATAAAATTCCATTTCTTCCGCCGATACTAATACAAACAAGCTCATGTTCAAAGCCAAGGATCGAGTTTAAAATAGCGTGCACCCACCGTTTTCCTAGGCCAGCAAGTTAAGTTAGGTGTATAGACCTCTGTTCAGGTTAGCCTAATAAAGTAATCACAAGAGGAAAAAAAAGTCGAAACAGAAATATAGGTAAAAAAAAACATGGCGGATAAGGTAAGAACTTTTATGTGAGGTTGTGTTGTGTCTCGCTATTTTAATTTATGTAAATTACATCTAGATTTAGATCTATGTCTTTTTATGCAACTCCATAAAATTAATAAAAAGCGCGGCAAACAAATTGAATGCATAAATGATTAATAATATTAGATCTAACGCTATTTACTACTATTTAATCAAATTATTTTATTAATATATTATTTAGGTCTGCATTCAAGTTTTCGATTTTTCACGCAGACCAACTCGTACAGGGGAGATAAACAATAAAATTCCCCATCCACTTATTTATTAAGATCTAGAATCTAGACTTCGCTAAAAAGGCAAAGTAGATATAGAAAATTATAGATCTAGAATCTAGATCTACACGAGGTGCGTTCATCATAAGTCAGATTCAGGAAAGGAGGGGTGGGGGTTTACTTTTTTTATAGAAAATATCTGAAACATGGGTTACAATTACATGGACCTGGTGGCGGTGGATTTTTCATAAGTTATTAATTAGATCTAGATCTATAACTTTTTAAAAAAAGTTAAGTAAGCCCAATTAAAATATTAAATATAGCCTAATTTATATCAATAGGCCTAATATCAATTGACAATTGGTTGTATAAAAATGTATTTTAATGACACTGTGTTTTTGTACTCAGGTTGTACTGTACAGCTATTTTCGGAGCTCTGCTTCATGGAGAGTTAGAATTGGTATTTATTAAAAAAATTCTATTACTAATGCCCTAATTCCTAATGCTCTTTTGATTTTATTATTTAACACTTTTTTTTCTATTATTTTTGCTCTTGAATATTAATTCACATTTTTTAAAATATTTTTTCTTAATACTATCCTAAATGTTTCTTAGATTAAGACATTTCCACAAAAACTGATTCAGTTCAAGCTTTGGCACTTAAGCCCATATATCTTTTTTTTTTATTGTGCAACTTAAACGCATTTATGAGAATAAAAAATAAAAAATTAAAAAGAAATAACCTTTTTGAGTATTGTAGTATTTTGAATCAACATTTTTAGTAAATCTACACAACTTAAACTTAAAGGAATGGCATAGCTGTATTATTAAGTACACAACTGCTAATCTAAATGTCATGAATTAGGATACTGAGCAAGAGGTTCTGCTCTGATGGGTAGCATACCTGACTCACGTTAGAGAAAGTAAAAGTGTCTGGGCACAGTGCCAAGATTACAGAAATGTTCCACATCTAAAAGGATAATTTATCTTTAAACAATTTAAAATGCATATGTATTTTCACATATATGTTTGTATACATACACATGGGCACACATACATGAACACAATCACATGCATGCATACACATGCAAATGTATGTTTATGTATATATATATATATATATATATATATATATATATATATATATATATATATATATATATATATATATATATATATATATATATTGTGTGTGTATATATATATTTATTTTTTTATTTTTTTACTATTAGCTCTAGCTCTCAAAGAAATAAAGTATGAATATAAAGCAGTTCATCTTGTCAAAGATGGAGGACAACAGGTGAAGTTTTCATTTAGAATACAAACCTAATAATTCTTTTTTCATTTGGATATTATAGTCGAACAAGCTTATTTTCTCTGGCCTTTTAAAAATAGTAACAAGTTAAGTTACCCACTCGTACCTTAACTTTAACTTTTAAGCGTGCCTAATCTTATGTAGAGTAATATGGTCTTTTTATCATGGCAGTCACTACTTTCCTGGGTCGACTCAGAGAAACTGACCTCTAGCCAGTTGTGTGCTATACTACTCGACCACCCTATTCTATTTAGACCTATTTAAAATGCTTCTCACTTATTAAGTAAAAATATTTTAAAATGTTTAATTAACTTGTTTTAAGTCTAACACTTTTCTTCTTGTATCTAAATAGTACAAAGAGGAATACAAAAAGCTTAACCCGATGGAACAAGTACCAACACTTGTTATTGATGGACACACATTGAGCCAATCTGTAATTATACATTTTACTAAATATCTTTCAAAACTATAGTTGCAAGTTAGTTTGCTGTTCCATAGTGATACAACTGCTGACAAGAGTTATCCAGGCACTTTGATTTTGAGCTAATTTCTCACTTTAAATATCTAATAAAATAAAAATAGCATTTAGGATAAATGAACTGGCTTTGTGTTTTGCTCTTTGGCTTAACACCACAGCAAAAAAAAAGTTTTGTTTAAGTACACAATTCAATCGACTAACCTGCTTTCTAGATAGTAGGGTTTTGACAACAGACTTAACTCCCTTGTCTGAGATAGTGACAGCTAAGTAAACAACTTGAGGTTGAATTTTTATAAAGAAAGCAAATGTACCTATCAGTTATGAAATTAAATTGTCAAATTAAAAAATAATGTATAATCAAATTCTTTTTTTAAAAACTATCTCTGCAGCTGCCAATTATAGAATACTTGAATGAGAGAACTCCAGACCCACCACTGCTCCCTAAGGATTTGTATGGCAGAGCAAAGGTTACTTAGACACCATTTATGATTGATTAAAATTTCTTTCTGATCATAAATAATTAGTTTTTCTTATCATTATTAAGATAAAAACAATTTTCAGTTTCCATGTTAATGCAGTTGCAATTTTGCTTTTTTAAGACCTTCATCTAAAATGTTACAGGTTAGAGCTTTATCTGAACTTGTAAACAGTGGCATCCAGCCCCTTCAGAATCTCTCGGTGCTGGAAAAAATTGGTGACGGCAAAGAGGAATGGGCTAAATTCTTTATTGAAAAAGGACTAAAAGGTTTGTGTACTATTTGATTATACAAAAATATACACCATTTAGTTACTTTTAAAAATAAACCTATTACATTATTTCAATGACATTTTACAATTTTTGTGTTTAATTACTGTTTTAAGACAAAGCATTTATAAACATCTAACAAATTTTTCATAGATCAATATATAATAAGTATCCCTTTTATCATAAATGTAATCATTATTTTTCATTTTAAACTGTTAGCTCTTGAGTCATTCTTGCAAGAGACTGCTGGTAAATACTGCTATGGCGATTCTGTTACCATGGCAGATCTTTTTCTAGTTCCCCAGATCTATAATGCCAAAAGGTAAAAATATTATTTGTACTTGTCTATTACACAGTGTTTACACTTGCAACATGTATACTATAGTTGTCTAGGGGAAAAAAATTCTCAAATAAGTAAATGTTTTATAAAAAAATTTCCCAATGAACATGTATTATTATACTTATTTGCTGTGCGTTTTTTTTTTTACTAGACATGTACGGTATTCAGTTTAAATGCAATGTTAGGTAGCACCTATTTTTTTTAAGTGTTAAGTTAAAATTATAGTATTTTTTAACCTTGTGTGCCAGTTATGTTCATAGATCTCAAAAAGTTAATTGCATAAGAGGAGGAAAAGGAAAATAATGTATCTAAAGGGTTTGGTTAGCATGTATACATATTCAGTTATCTACCTTTTACATTGTATTTGATTGTAGGTCTAAAATGGATATGGCGAGTTCCCAAAAAATTAATTATAGCCATCTATGATGCAAAGACATATATATAGTTGGATTTACATGTGCTTATTATAAACTACTTAAATCTACCTTATATATTCTATTTGATTATAGGTTTAAAATAGACATGGCCCAGTTCCCAATAATTAGCCGGGTACATGATGCACTTGTTGAGCTACCTGCCTTCAAGGCTGCTGATGCATCAAGACAGCCTGACACCCCTGAGGAGATGAGGGCCCCTTAGTTTAAAAATTTAAATCTACAAGCTTAGATTACATTTTTGTATTGTTTTTGTTAATTAGTGTCATACTTAGAAATAATGCATTTCCTTCTTAAGCATTTTTTGTATTTGTAATGAAACCTTAACAAGAAAATTGTTAATTAGCATCATACTTAAAGTTATACAGTTTGTTATTTTTTAAATTTGTGGTGTAAGTGCAACCTTAACTAATAGTTGTTTTTGTTTTCTTTAATAAAAAAAGTTTCTGTTGTGTTTTTATTAATAAAAATGATATTTTAATGTAATAATTGGTTGCTTGATAATTCTTCACTCATCACATTGATGATCTATTCAGAATAGTTTTTGTTTATACTACTAAACATGTCAATTGAAATAGAATCTTGTTTGAAGTGTTTGTTAAAAATGTATAAACATTCCAGCTTTTTTAATATCAGTTTTATTCAGAAAACAAGAAATCAGAATTAGAATCTCTGTTTAAAAATATTACATAGAGTTTAACTTTACCTTTTTTTTTTTTTAAAAAGGCAGTTCATTTACTTAGACAGTATTCAATTTCTAAAAAATATTTTTTAGTTTAGATTAGTTTTATAATAAAATTGCAATAGTGATGTCTATTTAATGGTTTGGGAACAAAGACTACCAAAGTTTCTATTTTTAAAATCAAGTTAAGTTAGGTAAATTATATGAATCTCAAGTGATTAAATGTATTTTTTCCTGTGTAACACAGTTACCTCCCCTGGATTGTGGTTCTTGTTTCCTAACAAAAATACAACTTTTAACACTATAACTTAGTAAAAGCCAATATATTGATACACTGTTTATTCTTTAAAATGTACTGTAACAAGTATTAAAAATAAATGTGTTACAAAATTTATATCTTTGAAAAAAAATGAATTGTTGCTTCAGAGAGGTTTCTTCTTTATCATACTTTAAAAACTTTTTGGAATTTACATAAAATTAACCATGTTATGTTGATTTTGTATCTAAAATGCATTTAAATGAAATCTTATGTGGCCTTGAATATGTTTTTTGTCAAATTTTAGTGTTATTTTTGTATGCCATTTATTTCATCCATTTTATAGATGATAGTCTGATTAAATTAATTTTCAACAACTGTTAGTGTTATTCTACTGCAGCATTTACTAGTAATAAAATTATCCGGTGTGAATAGTGTCCTTTTTTTCATTGTATTGTGCTACTATAAAAACTAAAAGACCTACTTTATATTAACTTTTTAAAAAAATTTAGATTAGTTTACTTCAGTCCAGATTTAGTTGCCCACAATAATATACAATAATTTTTTTCCAGTTTTGTTTACATTCCTACTTTGTATTTGATTGTTTTTGCTGAAACTATTACCAAATGAAAGGTTTGAGATTTATTATTGCCAGTCACTGATTACCTCTGTTTTATTTTTATTGATTTTTAGTCCAACTCTGGAGGCTTCTTCAGATAGCCAATTCAGTTTGGCTTGTGTATGTTGATGCTTGTGAGATAGTAGGCAGATGTCATCAGCAAAATCAAGATCTTCCAGCCTTTTGGTGAAACTCCATTGGATTCCTGTGTCGTTTTTTGTGGTTTTCAGCATGATCCAGTCGATTACCATCAAGAATATCATTGGCGATAGCATACATCCCTGTCTTACTCCCGTCGTCACAGTGAATGGTTTTGTTAGCTTTCCCTTGTGTATTACCCGACTGGTGGTGTCTTCAAAGAGTTTCTGTGTGATAGATATAAATTTTTTGGGTATACCATAGTGGCTCATTAGCTTCCAGATAACATCTCTATTCACACTGTCAAATGCCTTTTCGAAGTCGACAAAAGTCATGTATAGGGGAGATTGCCACTCGAGGGACTGTTCAATAATGATGCGCAGCGTAGCAATGTGGTCAGTACATGACCTGTCTTGACGAAAACCAGCTTGTTCTTGTCACAGCTTTTTGTCCAAGGCATCTCTAAGTCTCACTAGGATGATTCTTGTCAGCACCTTACTTGGGACTTTAATACTTACATGACAAAAATGTAAAATAGCTGTGAAGATTTTAGGGTAGTCTCTGATTTTTTACTTACAAAAGACGTAAACTACTTTAATCTACCGTATACATTCTATTTGATTATAGGTTTAAAATAGACATGGCCCAGTTCCCAATAATTAGCTGGGTACATGATGCACTTGTTGAGCTACCTGCCTTCAAGGCTGCTGATGCATCAAGACAGCCTGACACCCCTGAGGAGATGAGGGCCCCTTAGTTTAAATTTTTTCAGCTACATGCTTAGATAACATTTTTAAAAAATTGTTTTTGTTAACTAGTGTTATACTTTGAAATAATGCATTTTATAGATCATCTGATGGGTCACTAGATCACATAATAAGTCACAAGATCACATAATTGGTCACTAGATCACATAATGGGTCACTAGATCACCTGATGGGTCACTAGATCATCTGATGGGTCACTAGATCATCTCATGGGTCACTAGATCACCTAATGGGTCACTAGATCATCTTTTGGGTCACTAGATTACCTGATGGGTCACTAGATCACCTGATGGGTCACTAGACCACTTGATGGGTCACTAGATCACCTGATGGGTCACTAGATCACATAATGGGTCACTAGATCACCTGATGGGTCACTAGATCACCTGATGGGTCACTAGATCACATAATGGGTCACTAGATCACATGATAGGTCACTAGATCACATGATGGGTCACTAGATCACCTGATGGGTCACTAGATCACCTGATGGGTCACTAGATCACATAATGGGTCACTAGATCACATGATAGGTCACTAGATCACATGATGGGTCACTAGATCACCTGATGGGTCACTAGATCATCTGATGGGTCACATGATGGGTCACTAGATCACCTGATGGGTCACTAGATCACCTGATGGGTCACTAGATCACATGATGGGCCACTAGATCACCTGATGGGTCACTAGATCACCTGATGGGTCATTAGATCACATGATGGGTCACAAGATCACATAATGGGTCACTAGATCACCTGATGGGTCACTAGATCACATAATGGGTAACTAGATCACATAATGGGCCACTAGATCACATAATGGGCCACTAGATCACATAATGGGCCACTAGATCACATAATGGGTCACTAGATCACTTGATGGGTCACTGGATCACTTGATGGGTCACTAGATCACCTGATGGGTCACTAGATCACTTGATGGGTCACTAGATCACTTGATGGGTCACTGGATCACCTGATGGGTCACTAGATCACCTGATGGGTCACTAGATCACTTGATGGGTCACTGGATTACCTGATGGGTCACTAGATCACATGATGGGTCACTAGATTATATAATGGGTCACAAGATCACATATGGGTCACTAGATCACCTAATGGGTCACTAGATCACATGATGGGTCACCTGATTGATCACATGATCAAATGATGGAGGACGATGTTCTGAACTTGAGGCAACACATTTTAATCCACACAACCAACACAATTTCTCGAGGTTTTACAACGGAATGGTTTAAGAGTTTATTTTTAAATTAATAATTAATAAAAAAAAATAAAAACAAATGTATAAACAAGTGAAATAGTATAACAATATAATAATTATACTGTATATAAAGCCTAATTACCCCATAACCTTCGCGCTGATGGAATAAAAGTAATAGTTCAAACATTTTAGGTCCCGGTCCGGCCACTGTGACAATGGGAAGTTGGTCATGACGGCAACATAGGTTTGTAGGTCTGGTTTATGTCTAAACAGGGGCTTAGCGTGGGGGGGGGGGGGTGCGGACCGCACCGGGTGACACCATTTAGGGGGGTGACACCAAGGCAAAAAATAGCAAAATATATAGAGAAAAACTCGAGGGGGGGGGGGAGCAAATCGAAAGTTTGAGGGGGGGTGCAAATCGAAAGTTTGAGGGGGGGGGTGCAAATCGAAAATTTGAAAGTTTGTCCCTGGGAAGGGTCTCTATGCCTTTGGGGGGGGGGGGGGTGACACCATTAAGTGCCGCACCGGGTGACACCCGACCTCACTACGCCACTGTGTCTAAATGATTATTGACTAATTAGGCACTACCATAGGGGCGAGACTGAGTTCAAACACGTCCATGTCTTCCACTAGTGTCTCCACGCTGATCTTCTCAAACAACCCTGGCAATGACGTCAGCATCGTCGAGTAGTCTGTCCCGGCATCGATATGGAACAAAATCAGCTCGTCTTTGTAGCAAACCGCCACCGACAGCTTCCAGTCGAACCGTCGCCACAGACGGTTGACAACTGTGAACTGGATCGTGTTGTCTCCACCCCGGGTGACCGACAGTAAAACTCCACCAGACAGCAGCAGATACAGGTGCTTGCCTTTGTGCACGGCCACGATGTTTTGGTTGGAGGCCTGGTTGGGTATCTCAACGGTTGACACCGACTTGGATTCCAAGCTGTAGCAGGTGACGGTCATATTGTCCGTTCGATACTTTTCGTCATAAAAGTCCGAGTTTTGGAAGAGTAGGATGGTGTTGTCGAACACGCAGGTGAATTTAAAATGGATATTCATGTCGATTTTGATAGTCTGGAACAAGTCTGGGTCCAGAACTCGACTCCTGTTGGCGGATTTGCTGACGTTGAGAACCTTGCCGTGGACAGACACGAGCGTGATGGCCATGTTTTGCTTGCCGCACATCTCGTACAGGGTAGAGAGGCTGTGGTTTTCATCAATTGTGTGGATAGCTTTGGGGTTGCACTTGTGTTTGGCGTAGGAACATTCGCTTTTGAACTTGACACACACAAAGGCGAGTTGGGACCCGAGGGAGACGACAGGGACGCTAGTTTTACACCGTCCTTGGAGCTGGTTGAGCTTAACGGTGGTCAGACTTCGACTCTCCAGGTCGTAGAGCCGAAGATTCGATTTGACCACGTAGGCGACGACATTTTTTTTCCCACAAGACTTCCTGTAGGGTATCAGAAGGGAACTTTCGTGAGGGTACACGCCGACCTTGAACTTGAGAGCTTCCTGCACGACTTCAAGAGCAGACGGGCATGCGCACACGTAGGGGTTGGTGAGCAAACTTTGTAGATAACTCTGGCTCGCTAAAACAATTTTAGCGCTTGTAAACAATTGGGCGAGGTAGTCTGCTCTGTCGTCTGCTGGGTGGTCGAGGCCCGAGTTGTTACTTGTGTCGTCTGGCGAGTCATCAGACTGCAAATAGTCTTTGACGTTATGATACAGCCAATCGTCTGAGTCGTCATCCGACTGGTCGTCAGAGTCCCGAGCCCCAGCCTCTAATTCTGCCCCCATGTCGTTTTCGTCACGCGACAGAGCGGTGCCGGGTTGATATCTCCCACGTGACACCCAGTTCAAGATCCCGTCTAGAACAACTTCCTCACTCGCAACATTCAGCTCGTCGTCCTCCACAAAGGATAGGACCACAGGAAATGACAAGTTCAGAAACTCCTCCGTCTTATAAATTTGTTCAAAGTTTCGTTTCATGAAACTTATCATGGCGTCTTTCACATTTTTTGAATTGAAGTCAGTGGCCGCTTGATAGAAGTGTGAAAAATTGTCAAGAGACAAATTGTCGATTACGTACTGCTCACACACTTGCAGATAGGTCTCTGTGTCCAGCCGATTGGCCGCCTCCCAAACATCGTCAATGTTCTCCGCCGTCAGGCCAGGCACTCGCTTGTGGATGAACCCTAGAACTGTAGCGAAGGTCTTACTGCGCATGCCCGTCAACTCCAAGCGACCTTCCTGCGCCTCCTTCATGTTGGCCCTGAACATGGCGTCAAAGTACTTGGAGGCTGCGCTCAGCAGTTTGCGCCAGCTTTTGAACTCCTTGCCGTCAACCACGATGGTAAAGTCACGTGACTCGGGGTCGAGGGTCCCCTTCCTCCTCATGCCCGTCCTTGGTCCGTGAGGATCGGGTAGTCCAGACATCTTGGGGAGTGGACAGTCTGTCAAAGTGTTTGGTTAAGGTTAGAGGTTTACCAGACATCTTGGGGAGTGGACAGTCTGTCAAAGTGTTTGGTTAAGGTTAGAGGTTTACCAGATGGACAGTCTGTCAAAGTGTTTGGTTAAGGTTTACCAGACATCCTGGGGAGTGGACAGTCTGTCAAAGTGTTTGGTTAAGGTTTACCAGACATCCTGGGGAGTGGACAGTCTGTCAAAGTGTTTAG